CTTTGAAGAATCAAATTTGAAAATGGAAACAATTTTCTGTAATTCATTTCTATTCAAAATAAGATTTTTTTTAAAATTATTTAACTCTTACATAAAATTAAGAAATCTAATATAATATGAAATTATATTCCAAATAGAACTCTAGTTCCAATTAAATTTATAATCTAATTGAAATCATAATTATTATTTTTTTTCGAAAGAAATATTTTATTAAATCCGAATAGAAACGTTTACATCAGAAACCAAAGTGTTGAACAACTACTCTGCTCAAACGAATCCCACGTATGAAATCCTCCCATACTTAACGCAAAAGACGCTACTAGATATGCTCCTTGATTACAGACTCGGGAGCAAAAATAAAATCTACTGACCTCAATTGCATTTGTATACACTTAATATCAAATAAAAGATCTTCAATTACAACGTTTAGTTGAGCGATTCCGCTAATCATATCCACAAGTTCATTTGAATCCGATCCACCTGGAAACATCAAACCCTTAATCCACGCATGCCACCAATGCTGCTCGTATTGCCTCCGCTAAACTTACCCTCGGACTTTTATGAAATTTTGGGTGCGTGCAATGGAATCCACTACTTCATAAGGCTTGATGACGAATTCGATTTGGATCTTATTGCACTGGCAAATGTTTCACTCAGAGAATTCAAGGTTGTTTCAGACTTCTGCATCTCGCATCCTCACGCCCAACGCCAACGCCAACGCCAACGCCAACGCGTCAATCAATGGGGATTTGGTTTTGGTCGTAAAACCAATGACTACAAGTTGGTTTTAATTCTCAGTTACGCAGAAGGAGAAACGGGGATCGAATTCAATCACAAGGCAGTGGCACCAATGTCAACGGGATTTCTCACTGGTTGGCCACTCCCAGGTTCGCCAACAATGATCTTCGTTGTGCAGTTCTTTATTTTGACATGGTTGATGAAGTATTCCGACTGATTTCCCTTCCAAAGTTACGGGATTTTGCACCGGGCAGTGATAGCTATGTCAGTATGTTGTACAATGATTCTCTTTCCGTGGTTGTTCGTCCAAAGAGTTACATCCCTGACCAGACTTGTGAAGTATGGATTTTACAAGACTACAGTGACGATGAATCTTGGACTAAACTGGTTACGATGGGGACAATTGAAGGCATTGCAAGGTCATTGCATCTGTCGGGATTTTGGCCAAATGGCGAGCTTCTTTTCGGATACGGCCAAAAACAAGCCATCTCGTACAACCCAAACACTCAGAAGATTACTCAGCAATTTCGAGTTTATGGACCATTGCGACCTTACTCAAGAGAGCCTGGTTTCAATCATAGGAGATCAACGCGACGACCAAAGTATGTTGTTTGATATAGCTAAGGAAAGTGATGATCCAACTCTTCAACAACCTCTCATCTTCATGAGGATCGTTTAGTTCGTGTTTAATTTATTGACTCGTTGATTTGTTTTGCTGTTAGGTTGCCGAATTGCCAAAGAAATTGCAATACCTTCTTTTGCTTTGTTGATACGGTATTTGGCTTAGGCTTTTTTTTTTTCAGCGGAATACTTGATATTTCGAAGTATAAGGTATGGTTCTTACCTATTGGGACCAAAACATTAGCATGTATTTTTGTCTTTTAATGAATACAACGGTGTGTTTGTGATAAAGAGCGTCGAAATTGAGCTAAGAGACACAATAAACATGGATAATAACTTAGTATCGAACTTGCCCAATGCATCTCGCATGTTTCTTTGACTTAAACTTTTGAAGCGTCAATCCATTTGCCTCCAACCTGAAATCTAATTCACACATCCTCATTGTTTTCTTCAAGTTTAAGAAATGCAAAAGTAATGTATTTTACTTTCTAATAAAGACACTGGTAATTCAATTATTGTGAGGGTTTTTGGCTAGTGGATATTAGAGCCGGCAAATCAATCTATTATGCTGTTAATGGGTGATCATTCACATTCAAATAATTTAATTTTACCGTAATATAATAGTGACATTGATAATGATGATGATGGACCGTTTAATGTAGTAGCTCACCACCTCTCCCTTTAGTGTAGATAACATCGTTTGTCCAAAAGCAAAAAAAAAAAAAAAAACATAAATTTAAAACAAGAACTCAATGACATCACATCATATGAATCAAAGAAGCCGATCATGGACTTAAGTCGATTAAATTGCGAGCCACGCAATTTAATCGAAAGGTCTACGCAGATGATTTGTTGTTAATTTTCCATCTTCGATATAAAATTACACAGCCATAAATTAAAAATCATCATGCATTCATCGCTAGCTAGCCCGATTGAGGCCGTGCCTTTCCTCCTCTTCGTCTTCTTGGGATCGCCTTCAAAGTCTCCTTCTCCGCTAGCTATCCTAAACCTATACATCATATTAAATCCAACGAAAAAGGGTTTCCGTTGGCGTGTGGGTGATTTATACGCTTCAAGCCCTCTTTAAGTTATCTTAATTATAAAAATAAATAAATAATAATTTAGAAGAGTACAAAACAGTAATCAGGCGGGCGAAAGCAGCAATACAAAGACAGCGAGGCCCTTTCTTCCACTTCTTCTCCTTCTTCTTCCTCGTTCTCCCTCCGATACGACGTCGCTCTAACCATGTCTTACGACTACCTCTTCAAGTACATCATCATCGGCGACACAGGTCCCCCAATTCCTCCAATCCCTAGCTTTCTGATTTTTGTTGATTTTTTTATTTGTTTGTTTTGAGAATTGAGGTTTTAGGACAATTGGGTTTTGGGTTTTTGGTTTGGACTCTGTAGGTGTTGGAAAATCTTGCTTGCTGTTGCAATTCACGGATAAGAGATTCCAGCCGGTGCATGATCTCACCATTGGTGTCGAGTTCGGAGCTCGGATGGTCACCATCGACGGTCGTCCTATCAAGCTCCAGATTTGGGACACCGTGAGTTTCTTTTACTTCTGGTCTTGTTATCTGTTTGGTTGGTGAGAAAATTGAGAATTGGGTTTATGATTTTGTACTGCTCTTAATTGTTAATTTGCCATTTTGTAAGTTTTAGTTGTATATGCCTGTAACATGAGAACATGTCGAAGATTTTGAATTTTCGATTGACCTGGTGTTATTCGTGTTTGTGATAATGGAAAAAGTTCCATCTTCTTACTGCTTTGGACATCAAAATTAAATTTAGTTGATTTTGGCTTGTTGGGCAGGCATAGAACTGATGCTTTATGTATGTTTTCAGCTTTAGTTTTGTTGTTTGCATTATGTTGGTAATTCTCGGGTGAAGTTGTGTATTCTAAGACGTATTCGAGCAGTTGCGCTTAATGTATTTAATTCCAGACTTGGCGGAAAACCGAGTGCGTTCTAGGATTCATATAGCCAACCCAATTAATGGGATAAGGCTTGGTTGTTGTTGTTGTTGTATTTGTTGCTGTTTCTTAGTAGTGCTATGAATATGCTTAACTTCTGAAGCAAGGATCCTTGATTTTGCATTTCAGGCTGGGCAAGAATCTTTCCGATCAATCACTAGGTCTTACTACAGAGGAGCAGCTGGAGCACTTCTGGTCTATGACATAACCAGGTGGGCGGGTGTAAATTGTGTGCGTTTGCAACTTATGTCAGAAATGCATATGAATCACATACTGAACTTACGGTTGTTTCAGCTTGGTACCCAATATTTTGCATTGCAGTCCTTTTTCTATTTAACGTTATGCATACGATATTATGAACTTTGTGTGGTACATATTTATAAGTTGTTGCAAAGACATTTGGAAGTGACATTTTTTAAGCAACAGTTTGAAGCTCTGTTTAATGGGGAGCCCTGCGGATGCATATGTCTATTTTCCTCAATTCTGTATATATTACTCAACTAAAGACAGGAAAGCTAATAGAGATTGTTTTGTTCTCCAGGAGAGAGACATTTAATCATCTTGCAAGCTGGCTAGAGGATGCCCGGCAGCATGCAAATCCTAATATGACAATCATGCTCATAGGGAACAAGTGTGATCTGTCTCACAGAAGGGCTGTCAGCAAAGAGGAAGGAGAGCAATTTGCAAAGGAGAATGGGCTTTTGTTCTTGGAGGCATCTGCAAGAACAGCACAAAACGTTGAGGAGGTGATGTTCCCTCAACCAATTCAAACCAGTACTCTAATTCAGTGCATTGTATTTGTTACTTGTGATTGACATGCACAATTTAGAATGTTTAAGCTGATTAAGTAGCATATTTTCAGGCCTTCATAAAGACTGCTGCAAAGATTCTTCAGAATATTCAGGAAGGCGTATTTGACGTATCTAATGAGGTAACTGTCCATTCATTTGTCGTGGGAAATTGTAGGTTATGAGAGTTGGGACGTAATGCATAATTTTTCTTTTAATTACGTCCTGAGAAGGGATGAGTCTGCTTTCTTTGATCTCGTTAACCATAACTAACTTACTGGATCAACCGATCGTATAAATTTGACCTTGTAGCTTCCATCTAAAGCATGAAAATTAAGTTTTTTGTGATGTTTGCAGTCATCTGGCATCAAGGTTGGATATGGACGCCCCCAAGGTCAATCAGGCACAGGGTGGAACGGTTGCTCAGGGAGGCGGATGTTGCAGCTGATTAGAACCAGCTCTGTATTATGTTCTTTGGACATACTCTCCCAACTGTCATGCTGCTACTTTGTGAAAACATTGAATGTACAGATCTAAGTGCTTGGATAGATTTCATCTTCTCTTCAGGGATTCAACCGTTTTAAATGTTGAAATATTTCTAACAGTGGTAATCCCACGTTGGAAACATCGGTTAAGTTGTGCAACTGTTCTTTCTTTGTCTGTCTAATTTCCATAAATGAACGTGATGGCGTGGTTTATTTTTCGTTATGATCCCCGATGTAATGCAATGTGAGGTCGCTGGAATGGCCGGAGGCACGTCGGTGCCGGTATTCGTACCTTAAAATGCCTTGTTGATTCGTCGTTTCAACCTTGAAAAGATTTAGCTCCTAAAATGTTTGAAATGTTGAGGAGAGTTTTCCAACATAAGGCTCATGAGCAAAAATAAATCGTATGTGTTAATCACGTAGAACTCGAAAAGTATCGAATTGAAACCTTACAATCCAAGAAACAATGCAAAGAGAACAAGATTCAACCATAAAAGGTCCGTTACATGATTTGACTCCAAATGTCGTCCTACAAGCTTACAGCTCCTCCAGTTGAGGTATGCCAAAATCCATGAAAATTTTGAGCACTATGAATCGCCAAATACCTGCAAACGGATTGCGAAATAACATACAGTAGTCAACCAACAAATAACATACGGTAATCAACCTGGAAATAACGTATTATACGGGCAAGTATTGAGTGACGGATCAAGAAATAACATACAGTCGTCAACCAACAAAACGATGCTTACCGCTGACAGTACATCTTTAGAGAGCTGAGGTTTGGTTTTGGCAGCATTATTTGCAACAGGTTTCTTCTGTCTAAACCGGCGAATTACCTCATGTTCCGGCTGGCTATTAGGGAGATCGGGATTGCCCCCTGAATCTTCTTCGACCCTTTGCCTCTGTTAGAGAAGATGAAACCTGATTATATGTAACGGACTAGCTATAGAGACTTAAGAGAGGAAGGCAAAATTTCAATACAAATTGGTAACAGCTGCGCTAAAACATATTCCTCTCCTACTTTTTCAATCAAATGAACACTCTGCATAGAATATACGAAACTACCTTCTTCAATCTTTCATCTATGGCACTCAAAGCACGGGACTTCTCGACTTTAGTGAGATAGAAGTCACGCTCTTCTTAGCTAGCAGAAATTTCTAAAGCTAGTTTTTGCTCCCGAGTGGCTTTCTTGTAAGCTGCAATCAAACATTGCCGAATAATCAAGAACCAAGTAACGATAACGAAGCACAATGACAAACAAAAACCCAATCGTTAAGAGTCCGAACCAATCTCTTCAGTAAGATTATCCCACTTGAATTTACTCAAATACTTGATGTTCCAAAGATCGTAGTAGAAAGATGATCTCTTCTTCCCACCTAAACATAACAAAACAACCAGACAGTAGAAATCTTTCAGAGAAGAACAATGGGAACATGCGCATCGATAAAACAAGCTGTAAGATGTAAAATCCTCTAACAAAAGATTGTAATTTTCACATAATTACCTATCTGTTCACCATTTAACATATTAGCAACTCTCTTAGCAACCCTTTTGTCAGAAAATTCAACCCACCTGCATTTGCAAATAATTAGCGATTCTACGACATACCCATCTGAAAAATCAGATTTTTAATCGAACGAAGAAAACTAATTTAATGCTTTTTAAGACATACCCTTCTGAAAAATTTTGCCTCTGAAATTTACCAGCTTTGATTTGAACGTGACCAGAAGAATCTTGAGGTGCAAGATAAAGCCTTTGTATATCTCCGTACTGAGAGAGCATCTGGCGAAGCGTCGACGGATCCATGCGCGGCGGAATCCGACCCAAGTAGCAAACCCCTCGCTGTTTCTCATCCTTCCCGCCTTCCTTCATCGATTTCTTCCTCTTGTTCTTTCTCTCGATTTCCATTCCCAATTTCCAGCCCTAATGCTGTTCCCTTAAACCCTAAAACGCCGAAAAAGAGCGCGGCGATACGACGGCGGTGAAGCTCTTGCTCTGCTGCTCGGTCTCTGGGACTGTAACTCTCTCTCTCTCTCTCTCTCTCTCTCTACCTTCCAAAGACGGCTTCTTCTTTACGGGTTTACACATGACACGCACCGTTTTGTTTCTCCTTTATTTGACTGGGCTTTTACTGTTTTCCCGAAGGGCCCAAACTATAAGGTCGGGCCTTTTCTCAAGAGGCCCAGAACATAAGGTAGGGGCTTTGCTCATGGGATGAACCGTGTGCTTCGAAGGGAAAACCATAACGCAATTTTACTAATTCACATATTATAATATGAACGAAAAACTGTTGCTATACTTTTCTACCCCCGATATGTTACAAAGCTAAAGTGCGGATAACATTAACATATAGATACATGTATAGTAACACATATAACTACTGGTAGTGCGGTCACCACACTGACAAATTGCTCGAATTCGTGGTTTCAAAATTTCAATGAGAATTGAGCTTAAGATTGCAGGAAGAAAAAAGTTCATTATTCACACCACCCTTCATGCATCCAGAAAAAAAATTAACAATTAAACTTCAAAACGCGATGTACCCCGGCGTTTGGTAACCCTGAGCGTTCGATACCAGGACAAAACGATGCCTCGTTTCCTTTGAAACAACAATAATATCACTAAAACAGTGAAAGTCCACGAAATAACTACTCCTCGGAGCAACTTTCGTCATTGTTTATCTAATAGGTCGTCCAGGCCCCCTTCTGTCGCGAAGGTCATTGTAAGTCTTCGTAACATGTTGCAGTCGTGGATCGTCTTCAGGAATCTCACGTTTCTGCCATTTCAGAAACAGAAATGAAGGAAAAAATTGTTAAAAACACGACAAAGATGACGCATTGAGTCCAATTACGAGGATTTTTTTGTTAATCAGAGATGTACAAACTAATAAATCAGAAGACCAGAGACTCACTTTTAAGCCCTTGTAATATGCTTCTACGGAAAGAAATTGCGGAACTATTTTACGTGCATCCATCAGGTCCCATATATAGTTGGCAACGCTATAACCTCCGGTCTGCAAAAAAGAGCACGAAAGATTTATAGCAAGACAACCGAAACTAATGCAAAATTCAGAGACCCAGAACAGATGAAGAATTATGTCATTCTTTATAGCAATATAGCAACTAGAGATAACTCTTAAAGTTGCGCACCTCGTCACCAGCAGCTGCAAGGAGAAGATCACTCCCCATTTTCGGACTCAAGAAAAAGCTTCGGGAGTTCATATTCACCTGCGTTGGAACATGAAAATCATAAAATGATTTTAACTGAAGCCATGATCTGAAATATCAAAAACTTGATTTAAGAATTAGAAGTGTGCAATAGATCAACCATACCAGTGTTTCTTCGGCAATTTTCATTCCCTTGGGAGTATATCCAGTCATGGCCCCCTCCACAAGCGTCTACAGAAACATAGTTTAGCGTAAATTAGGGTACACATCTGAATGATAAAAAGACTAAGAACACATTAAGTGAAAAATATATTAGTTTTGTTTGGCAGAAATGCTAAAACAAAACATCAGAACACGATAAGTTATGATAAGAAAAGACTAAGAACAAACAAAAGCTAGCCAGACAACACAAAATCAAAGGAACAGTGTCTATATATGAGGAAAGAAAGTGATGTTTCATGAGTCATGACACGAAAATTGTGTTTGTTGCCTAACGCACCGTATATAGTTCTACTACAGGAGGCTTTCCTGACTTCATATAGTCTTCAAAAGTTTGAACACCACGGTCAATGTCCCCTGAGTGTAGATAACACCTGAATAAAAAAAAATAGCAGTGATGACAAAACGGACACAGAATGAATTGAGGTTATATTAATGCACGAGCAAGACAATGCCATCTTACTAAAACATGTAGTGCATTCTGATCAAAATTTTGTAATAAAAAGTTACTTACCTCATTATTTGCAACACAATAAATAAATCAGGAACTGTTCCGTCCTTTGCTAGCATCTCCCGAAGAGCTTCCATCACCTAGCATAGTTAACAGAAGTGAAGACATAAGAATAAACTTTTATGGCAAAGGGAAAAGAGAAGGGAATCTTATTAAGTAACTTAATTTATGATGGTATTTTTTATCTGGAAACTCAACAATACTTGCAATAAGTGGATAAAAGAGGGTAGTTTCAAACCATACGGTATTTCTTCATATTTTGATTTGCTACATGATAAAAGAAGATAACTAAATAATGCTAGGAAGTATGAATCATGAGAGGCAACAAGCTTTGTCATAAAACTTAAAAACCATGTAGTGCAACATCCATGCATAGAGTGTTAATCGTCAGGTATGGATATGGGTATTGCCCGATAACAAAAGAGTGAAAGTACAATATCAATAAACCAAGAAAAGAACCAGCAAGCAAACAAAATACACGTGGTTTCTTTAGTGGAGTTGAGCTGAGATAATCGAGATGTGAGATATTACCTCTACATTCCTGAGGTCTGCGCAAGCATGGAACGCAGCATGATACACAGTTAATTGCCTATTCAGAAACCCACCCCTATGAGAATATTCAGCAGTTGGCATATTATACAACTCTTCTTCCGTTACACCCATCATCACATTTTCAGCAGTCATACTTGATCCATCAACTGATGACCACTCTTTTGACCGCTCAACAAACTCTACAATCTTTGTGCAAAAGGAGAATATAAGAGAACTTTGAACAGAAACAAAATGAAAGAATACTTCAAAGCAGAGGGAAAACGATTAAATATTTACTTTGGTGCCGAATTCATCTGGTAAAGGGGTCTTGTTCCTAAGTGCAGTTACAAGTCCAGCGTAGCAGAACCTGTTTAGCCCAAGACCAGCAGCAGTCATGTCACGGACAATTGCATACCTGCATCAACAACACAAAGCACATTAACCACATGAGGAAAAATCAACCATTGGAAAAACGAAACAAGCACAGAAAACCAGAGCATAAAAGAAGAAGCATACACTCGATCTAATCTGCCAGTAGCTGCACACGCATTGAGCAGACACATGTAGGTCTGTACCTTGGGTGACACTTTATAGTTCTTCATGTCTTCCAAAATCTATTAAAATATATCACATCAAGACATACCCACATTCCCTTGTTAATGATCAGACAGGCTAATCAACAGCGAAAATCCTAAAGCACATCACTTTATGGCATACAATAAGCAAAAGCAAATCAATTTGACGATCAGATATTCGGTTAACAATCCAACAGAATTTAGCGGGTGGGATCTAAGCCGCTTAAAATGCAATGTATACTATGCATCGATGTACAATATAGCAGTAATCTTATAAGTAGGCAGTAAAAAGCCGCACCTGAATCGCTTGATCAGAGTGCTTGCACTTCCCACACAGTGTGATCAGAATGTTGTACATATTAACCTACGACAATCCAATCGAATCAACAACCAAACACTCGCATTTCCGATATAACGAAACGAAAACGCTGATACAAATTTAAACAAATGACATACATCAGGGGCCAAGCCCATGGATTTCATCTGGTCAGCGAAGAAGAAGCGTCCTGCAAGCTCGAACCTTTGAGGGTGCCCAGTATGAGCGACCGGAAGGTGTCCTGATCGGGCTGGACGCCGTCGAGCATCATATCCTCATACGCATCCCTCAGCAGGAAATGCTTCCTCTGAGCGGTGAGGGAATTGAAGACGCTGTTATACTCCGACAAGTTGTTGGCGTAGTTCCTCTTCGCGTATTCCTCCGTCGTCGCCGCCGCGAAGTACCTCCGTCCCAGGGCTCGCAGCGCCGGCCGGCATTGACCTGCAGCAGCGTGATTTAGTATTAACATTCAAATCTTAAGGTCTCTGGCTATGGAGGAGATGGACCTGTACCAGTAATGGATTGAAGGAGTCTCATGGTTTGCTGTTTCTGACTCGATGTGTGACACGGTGAGTGAGTGAGTGAGTGAGTGACCGAGCGAGTCGAGTTACTCTGTTTCTAAAACCCCACAAATGCAGAAACCCTCTTCCCTTGCTGCCTCCGTCGTTTCCTTCTATCGTTCGCTGACTTCAACAGCTAAACGCACCGTTTTTCATGCGACTTTGCGACGTGGGATTCTTATGGACTGCTTGAAATGGGCCTTTGTTGAAATGGGCCTTTGTATTAGAACTCCTGATGTTATCGTGGTCTATGAAGCCCAAATACCGAGCTCAAATTATATTATGCCCGTTTGGTAGCTAGGACCGGACATAATTAGGGTATGGCTCCATCTAGTGCCTAAACAGTCAATAATGACGTTTGTATACAACAATATATTTACACTAGATAGTCGATAATCATTTGATCAAACTGATACTAACCAAATACCATTGGTTTAGATCTTAAACTACCTAACAGAGAATTCGAATTTTAGTGCAAAGTATGAATCATGCGCTCATCTCACTGACTCGCCTCACTAAAACCTAGCCATTGAATAGCCAGATCTTTCTTTCTTTTGAATAACTCAGATTTTCAAATCCGCTGACTACTGGATGCAGAGATCCAGAGAAGATCTCAATTCATAATAGAGTATAGGCATATGAATTGATTGATGACCTTCAACAGTGTCATGTACTCATTGCCCTACATAGGTAGCAATAAGCATATATTTATTTATAGGCCATAACATGCAACCGCCTGCTGCCAAATCCCTTTCATATTTATTTGTGTTTGGTACAAACTCCAAAGTATACAAACAGTGCATGTGCATAATAAAATCTTGATTGTTTTGATTCATTTAATCGAAGAGTTGGTTGTGATTAAGGGAAAAGGATCCTTGTCCGATTCTTTTTGTGGAGATTTGAGGGATCCATCAATCACAGTTGTTCATTGTACATCGTGCGGTCATAAATTATTTAAATTTAAAATTGAATAATATCTAACAAAAACTGACTACACGATGTATGATGAACGACTGTAATTGATGGATCCCCTGAATCCCCACAAAGAGGATCCGGTGAGGATCATTTTCCGTGATTAAATCCCAATTGCAAATTGCGAAGTGCCAATGTCCCATATTGTCGAGAAATTTAAGAGTGTGCCAAGAAATTTAACAGTGCGCCGAGAAATTGAACAGAGTTGGTTGTGATTAAATCCCAATTGCAAATTGTGAAGTGCCAATGTCCCAATTGCAAATTTCTTCATTTTGTCCTATAATATTAAAGGTAATATTAGGGAGATCAAATTTTTAAATCAACTTATGTAAACCAATAATATAGTTGTTGATGATTGGATTATTAATTAAGTGTTGATTAATGTGCTTATTTCTTATTAGTAACACATCATTTATTTTGCAAATTTAATTTAAAATTTTGATCTCTCTAACATTATTCTAAAATTAAAGGAACTTAGATAATCACTTGTTTAATGAACTTTTGGTGTGATAATCTTTGTATTTAACCATTTATAATTAGTTTATGTAAATTGGTAGACATCTTTTGATGTACCGGAAATACAAGGTAGTAGATGACTTGTTATAATATAAGTGAAAAATACATTAAAAAATATAACTACATCACCTATAAAAATTTCTCGTAAATTGGTGAGAGTCATTTCCCTTAGAGGACCCTCTAAAATTCAATTGACAACAAACTTACAACTAAAATCCAAGTGATCATATAAATGCGATATTCTAAATTACGAAATACACGATTCAATCTTAAATAAAAGTAAAGGAGCGAGCACACTCTTATGATTAGCTAGCACAACTCAAATCTGCACAATATGCTGAAAGTTTTTTGTATTATTATGTGCTTATGAGCATTATACATTAAAAAAAACAAAAACAAATATTATAAACAATGCTAGCCATGAGGGAGTGCAGGTGGTGCCATTATCGGTCCTAAAGGATGGAGGTGGTCTCATCTCCGACCCTGAGGGGGAGAAGGTGGTGCCATCGTCGACCTTGAGGGGTGTAGGTGGGTGCCAGTGCATAGGTCCCGACCTACGCCCTGATTTTAATTTAAAGTACACAAATATAATCTAACAAGTACTCTTTGATGACCGAAGGGATTAAGCAATGTTGTGGCTTGGGAGGGCATAGGGTTTGTTGAATTGAAGGGAGTTATGAGTAGGAGTGCCCTTGTTGTGAAGGGCCTTCAACGGGGAAGGGTTGATCTGCAAGAACAAATAGTTTCCAGCAAAAAGATCACCAAAGTGTGACTGCCCTTCTTTAAATCTCCTCACCACCTTTGCACACAGAGCAGAAACCACCTTCACCTTCCTCCTCAAGAACAACAACCTCCTCAGGCTCGGAACTTTGAGCTTGAACGATTTCCTCCGAATGTGAGCCCTTCTGAACGATCTGAACCTGCACCAACTAGTAGTAGTATTGTTTGTCCTTGATCTCACCACCACTCGGTTCTTTTCGAAATCGAACTCCTCGTCGTCGAGATCGTCGTCATGTCTGAGTCTTTGGTAAGCAGGGAGCTTGGTGGAAGAAGAAGATGAGGTCATTGGAGAAAACTTCAAATGTTGTTTGGATTTGGATAGGAATTGTGAGGGATATGAGGTAATGGTGTTTGTGTTGAGTAGTTGGTTTTTTTCTTTGGGTTAGGGATAATAATGTGATGGACAAAGAAATAGGTCGTTCGAAGAATGCATTCAATGAAAAAACAAAGTGGCCGGTTATTTTGAATTTGCATCCTCTTCGGATGTGACTATCCAGAGCCTAAGAACCAGAAAATTTGGATTGTTCAAGAGAGAGATTCGAGGCCTTGGCTTGTGCGAGGTGAGTTAGCGAAATAGTTAATGAAAACCGTCGAATACAATTTAAGTGGTCAGATTTCCTGCTTCTTAACCTCACGATAGTGAAATCCAGGGAGGATCTTTGGCCAATTATTTTTTGGTAGCAAACAAGCAAAGCATTTGAGGTGGTGAGGTGAAGTTAACGCTTTAATCAAATACCAACCGTTTCATGTATTGGTATAGCAACTAGAGAATCGACCAGTTGGTTCACTCAACTTCAACCATCGCCACACGTTCTCCACATCTGAAAGGATTCAATGCCCAACAACTGACTCCTCCCGGAATTGCGTTACTATTTGAGCTGACCGGCTCATAAATGGTCGTCGTGTAATCTGGTGCACATCATATCAAATTACTTCCTAATTAATACCTCGTTCACTCATGTTATAACATTAATACTTATATTATAGTTTGTTACACATAAATTAGTAATAACAATAAAACGAGATATGATGATATAGAGATAAAGAGATAAAGACAACCTAACTTTAACAACACGAGTGTCACCGATTTGAAGAGACGTGACACCTCATCTACTCTTTCTCTTTCAAGCTTCAATCCACCACCGATGGAGAAAGAAAATGACCATACCAAACGCATGAACGGTGAACCCCTTATTTCCACAACTTAGTCATACGTGTCGACTACCTACAATCTGCTTTTTTTTTTTTTCCTTTTTCTTTTATGAAAGAAAAAATAAAAGTGCCTCAAATAATTGTATAAAATCCTTGAGCCACGGGTATGTAAAACTATGAGGCCTCGTTTGGTAAGTTGACCTATACAAAACTAGATTAGACATCGAGGATTGGGGCAAAGATCGAACTTTGAGTCATAGACCTTTTGACCCATGTCTAAGTTAATTCAATTTGCACTATCCAAGTCGATTCCGTGGGCCTAATCAGGAGAAAAATTTCGGTAGAGATACCCAACGAGCCATTTGAAGGAAACCTCTCTTAAAAGTATAGCAACTAACCTATGCCGATTTTGACGGACTGTGCTCCACCATAGTGACCTCCTGTATTTTGGTCCTACTCAACGCCATAATAGTCCGACAGGTTTGAGAACTCTCCTAGTGATGCAACTGTCAGAAACACAGTTCAGTACATACAATTGGTTGAATCTTCTTTTTTTTTCAAGTTTCCAACCAATTGTTTTATTACACTTAGGTTAGGTTTGTGATTGCTTAATTTAAATAAATAAATAAAATAAAATAAAAAAGCTGCTATGAAAAAAAGCTAGAGTGTAAAATGTATTTGGTAGTAATATTAAATATAAATGGTAGACGTTTGGGACCAGGTTACTATTATTTCTTTTTCTGCTTTTGTGTTAAGTGTATTTATTTTTCTTAATAAATGATTTGCTACAAACGATTTTTTTTTAGAGTAAACGTGACACAATTAATTACTCATATTTTTGTTTTATTTATTTTTTGTAAAGACGAAGAAACAAATTCTTTTTTCTTGCCTATCTACTACGGTGACGAAGAATCAAATTATCACTATATTTATTCCTTTTTCTACTTCTTCTTCCAAGTGCCTATGGATTAAGCAGCAGTTCAAAAGTTTAACCTATTCGGAAATCTCCGAATCTACGCTTATTTTCAACTCCCTGAAGCATTTCGTCGCTTACTACGTCCTTCCTCGTCCCTGTGTGCCTAGGTATCCACCGTAAGCCTTTCCTCGTTTGAACCTCGCCTTAAGTGCTTTTTTTTCAAATCTCGGGTCAAAATAAGCAGGAAAGTGGAAGCAGCAAAATGCTGCTTCCTAAAATAGCTTTCTAAAAAAAATACCAGATGAACAGTAAAATTTAAAGAAAGTTTCTCAACCCAATAATACCCTCTCCATTTCTCCATCTCCCTCCCTCCAATCGCATCTGGGCTGATGCCGCATCAGATTGGGAGAGCCTAGAAGGGAAGATTGGGTGCTTCGAATCCACATCACTGAAAGTGAACTTTTTAGCTTTGGTATAAAGAGAGATTGTGTAAAGTGGAAGCACGGCTACTGTTTTATTTTACAGCAGTTTATTCTTACAGCACAGCAGAAACAGCTTTTTCAAAAAATACAGTAATACCAAACTAGCTCTTAATGTATCGAACTGTATTCCCAACACATTGAAAATCTCTCATCCATCCACAAGAAAGTCCACCTCCGTGAAAAAAAACTAAGACCGGCATCTACAGAGCAACAATCAAATTGCAAAAATGTAGAGACGGCAGCACTTCACTTCGTTTTCATTTTTTTTTTTAAAACAACCAAAAAAATCACCAGAGTATTCACTCACATCTGGATCATCATCATCATACGCTGGATTCGACCAACCAATTACCAAACCTAGCAACCTCCTGACCACCTAAAGCAATGGATTACAAAGAATGTGATTGAAAAAATAAACAAATACACACAACGTCAGCCAACTCCGGCATGAAAGCACGTCGTCGTTAATACAGTTTTATCCGGGTTTGGATTGCGCTTCGGCATATTGGGCACGACTGAAGATCTTGTCCGCATTCGCAACATGTCTGCACCGAAAACATAACACTAAGAACACGGTACTAAAAATATGATCGTCTCAACTCATCTTGAAACTATAGTTCAAAAATGTACCTGATGCCCGCAACCAAAGGCCATGTCTTTCGGATTCGTAAGGCAAATGGGGCAAACCTGTTCAACACCATATAAAATGTTAACCTGCGAGAGTGCTACAAACGCATCAATACAGGATTTAGACGTGGCTGCTGAGAAGTTTGCATACCTGATTATCATACGTAGAACTGGGAGCAGGTGGAGCTGTACTGACGGAACTGCTGTCTCCATAATAAGGAGGAACACTTGGCTCGTAACTGGTATGGGAAGGTTTTGTGAAAGATGGCGAACTGAAACTGGTAGCACGGGAAGTTTTTGAGCTGCTGAAAGATGACGCTCCATACACAGGAGGGGGGAGAGGAACCTCTGGGGAATATTTCCCTTCCGACCACTGCCCATTTCAAGAAGAAGAAATTTTGTCAAAAAATTACAGGAAACATAGGTATTCAAAAAGGGTTTAGAGATGAGAAATAAGGACTGCATTGTTACCCCAATATATTGAGCTCTATTGTTGCTTTATACTGAGCAGGAATTTCCATCAAGGCTGCTAGAGCAAATTCGGTCTCCTTTCTTGACGGTGGCACATTCTTTGACATAATTTGCGTAAAATTCACAAACTACAAACAATAAAACAAATGTGCTTCGATTAAGTATTTTCCAATAATCATAAACAAAGGATCATGAGTCACATAAACAAAATTGTATTATTATGCTGAGAACTTACTTGGAAATTATCAAATGCCCGAGCAGGAATATTGTCATCAAATTCCTTCATCATGTCCCAGGGCCCATCTCCAACACCAACTAGAATAATTGATAGAGGGAGCTTACTGTGATAAAATAAGTGTAGACGATAAGTAAGGGCCGGTCAAAAAACAACATATATTTAGAGAAAGAGGAAGGGGGGTTGGGGGAATATCACACCTTGCAGCAACAATGGCATTAACCGTGTTCTGTTCCTGAGGGCTCAGCCTGCCATTCTCAGTATCAACGCTTCTAGTTACCTAAGGCAAAACATCACAGTACGTCAAAAAAAAAAAAAAAAAAAAAAAAAAAGGGGGGAAACTTGGGATTACAATAGAATATTTCCACTTGCAAGCCATCGTAAAACAAGAGAGCAAGGATAAGCAAAGCTCGTTACGCAACTTATGATCTAAGAAGTAGCTAGTGAAGCCACCAGTACAAGATCTAGAGAAGATGCTATTATTATTGCATAACCCACATGTCTGACCGACCTCTTAACTGATAAAGTTTTTCATGATTCATTTAGAGCAGTGACCATTAGTGTGTTTTGAAACTAAAAATACAAAGCGCACTCCTGAACTGTGCTAGACTCTAAAACCAAAAGGCAAAGAATTTTGTGTAGATGAAACAAGATTATATCATGGGCGCATGTCTGACCCTCTAATTGCATACTTCACTAAGTACAACAAGAATAAGGCAAGTTACCTGGCCATCTGCAATTATCAACAGGACATGGTATTGGCCAGCACTCTCCTCAACAATGGTCATGGCCTGTTCAATTACAGGTGCAAATGAAGTCGGTCCTGCCAAACATAATGATAATAATGTAAGATGACTGATTAGATGATATAAATGACCACGTCAAGAAATAAGTACTTGGGAAGCAAGAGTTAAACCTGCAAGCCGTAGCTTGGGAACAATTTCCTTGTAGCGAGCCAATACTTCCTCAAATCCATTGCAATATCTATCTTCATAGAAACTAAACACATCTTGATCATGAGTTGTCGCTGCAAAATGAAAAAGTAATTATTAATATTCCATGTTTGAAAGAACAAAATCTTAGACAAACAAATCGACATTATTATGAATAAAACCTTACCATCCCCAAAGCCGAAACAGGGAATGAGGTTATCCTCATCAAAAGCAGCCAAGGTTTTTCCAATAATGGATATCGCATGTTCGTAGGGATTTGGCCCGTTCCCAATGTGATGCAAGCTTTTTCGGTTAAATGACCTCGCACCTGTTTACACAACCAATTTCAGTATCCTCCACATCAACAACTACAACATACACTAAATTATTATATGAGATTAGATATTAAAGCGCTTAACCTGTCCATTCATTGCTCTTTGTGAAATCAATACCAACGATAAGATTGGAAGACTCGAGACCAGCACGCGCAAGAGCCTCTGTCACCTGAATACAAGTACAGTTGAGTCGACATAATTAAAAATCGTAGGCAATTAATAAAACTTTAACCAAAAACAGGGTAAGCTTGCAGAAGTTTCTGCCGCTGCAGCGATAATCTTACTTCCTCCAGGGAATGGTAATTATCAGCAATTCTGGAATATCTCCTATCAAACGTCTTCTCCTGAGCCCGAGGGGCCGCAGGAGCACTGTACACGGGGGCATAGTAAGGCTGTGCTGATTGATAGGATTCCTGGGGTGGTGGTGGATAACTCTGACTTCCTTGACCATATGGAGGTTGAGCATATGACGTTGATTGACCTCCTGGATGCCCGCCCCATGAGGAGCTCGAACGAGAAGATGAATTTTGCCTATAGCTCCCCTCTTTTGAACTTCTCCCACCCATTAACTCAACTCGGAAGAAAACCCCAAAATCTAAAAGGAATCCTCTTTCCCTTCCTTCACAATGCAATCAACCAAACGACTCGAAATCCGCACCTACAAAGCAGCCACAACAAAACGCAGAAAACAAAAACTTGGAACTCCAATCAGCACCTACAACGCAGCCAAGAAAACCCAGAAAAACGAAAACTTTGGATTCAAAATCCGCACTTACAAGGCAGCCAAAACAAAACCCAGAAAACGAAAACTTTGAAATCAATCCTGGCAGGCGTATATATATACCCAGAAACAGAATTCGGACTAGGTAAGGATTGGGAAGTCTCTAAGAAAGTTCGTATCCAGTTTTGCAATTCTGAAGGGGGTTCTGGAAGGCTCCAGGAAACGAAGTTGGACACGACTCGTTCGCGCAAAATCGAATTCACAACCGACTCAAACGAAAGAAGCCCTACTCTGCTAAGTTTTCCACGTTTGCCGAAAATTAGGCGCCAAGTGTCGCCTTCCACCTCAAGCCACAAAAATGTCAAAAAGGAAAGACCTTGATTTCTCACCCACCAACCCAAAAACTCCCCAAATCAAAACGTATCGACTTCAATTACTTATCACAATCCAAAAACGGAAATTCATAAATTCTCAAAAATTAAATCTAAATCTAAAATTCAAGAACAACAGGAAACACTGAACCATCCTCAGGAGAATCAGAGCGACATTGTCGAACAGACTTAGAGATCTCGATCGTACGTACCTGAGGAAGAAGGTGGGCTCTGAAACATGGCGAGCAGTTGCCAATGGAAGACTTGCAGTGGTGAGAGAGAGAGACTCTGAGTTGGGTTTAATTAGTAGATTAATGGGGTGTTGGTGGATCTAATTATTGGATTATAAAATATGATTAGAAAAGTGGGAAGCTTTAACTCTACTTTTCTGGGTTCCCTTTTGAATATTTGAATATTCGAGAAATCGGAACCAGAGGAAAATCGGGGGATGGGCACATGGAAGTTTCGCCGAAGTGGGTACCGCAATAATGGCCGTTACTGTTTTTGGATTCCGTTTTTTGAAAACGGAAAATGGAAAGCTTTTCGGGTCCTGTTTTTGAAAGAACTGTGATTTGAGTCCACGGAAGGGATGGGGATGATGATGAGATGCGTGGTTTTGTTTGGCTGCGACTGTGACCTCACAATCACGTCCACCGTACACCTTACTCTTATCTTGTATTCTCAAGAGGATAATATTTTTTTGTTTTGGTGCGTGTCGTATTATCTATTCAGTTGTGATTAACGTGTCTAGTTGTGCCTATTATGTCAAAATTGAAATCATTTTATATCATATGTTTGTTCGAAAAAATGAATGATTGTGACAACAATTAATATATTTTAATCAATGAATTTATATCATAAATAGTTCTTGAAATTGATCTTTACCATCAAGATGATCTTTGAAATTGAAAATTAATCAATGTAGTTCTTGAAAATAGGTGTCGCGAATCAATATGGTCATTTCGTCATAATTCTGTTAAATTTTTCTTTTTAAGTGTTGATGTGCCACATAAATGGCCATCATATGTCTTTTTTTTTTTTCTTCTTATAAATGGTTCTTGAAATTGACACACAACATTAAAATGGTCTCTGAAATTGAAAATTGATTAATGTAGTTCCGCAAGTAAGTGTCTCAAATCTATGTAGTCATTCTGTCACAATTCTGTTAAGAATTCTGTTATATACTGATGTGACACATAAATGGGTCACACAAGTCTAATTAAATTTAAAAAATTACAAATAGGCTTAATAATTTAATAGTTAATAAAAAAATTGTCAATCTAAAAACCCAATCTTGCAATCATCTTCTATCCCAGTCTACATTTCTCTAGCTCATTCGCTCTCTATCCTCTAAAAAAATCTCAAATACTCCTATCATTACACACTTCAACACCTTTCACTGAATTGAACTAGATCGAGATCACATTTGGTGACGGCTTGGCCCATTAGCAACGACTATTGGGACATCACCATTAACATTTAGGCGATCAGCATCCTCACAACTGTGTGTCCATTTTTGGTTGAAAACTATTTCCACACCTTCTCTTAAGCCTTGGTTAAGCCTTGTGCCTTTAAGAATTTATGAAAGAGATCTCTCTTTGGAGCGGACCCTACTATAAGAAAAAAAAATTCCATTGTACAAAAAGGGTATTTAGACAACTTTTTTAATTAATTATTAAACCACGCATCAGTACATAACAATTTTTTTTACAGAATTGTGGCGGAATGATCATATTGATTTGCGACACCTATTTTCAATGCTTATATTGATTGATTTTCAAATTCAAAAACCATATTGATGGTGTGGGTCAATTCCAGGGACTATCTTAATGGTGTGGGTCAATTCCAGGGACCAGTTTTGTGTTACATCAGTATTTAACAAAATTTTAAATGTGATGGAAGGACCAAATTTATTTGCAACACATATTTTTAGGAACTGCATTTATTGATTTTTAATTTCAGATATCATCTCAATGATGATGGGCAATTTCAGAGACCATTTATGATAAAACATTCTAATAAATTGACTCAATTGAATAAGAACATAAACCGACTCAATTCTGTATTTATACCTTTCGAATACGTTAGTCATGGGTGGCTGGATAAGTAGATAAAACTATACTTGCATCTATCCATAGATGCACCTTCTTGTCCACACTCTTAACAATAACGTATTTTTAATGTACAAATTTTATAACCAAAATTGTTTATGTTCTTAATCGTCCTCGAAAGATTCTATGTGCGAAAAAACAAATTAGATAAATATAATATAGTTATCTGTGTGTACAAAATAAGTGGACACTTGTCATGTAAATGTTAGTTGCTACCAAAATAAACTAAATTTAACTTAATGGAATAAAATGCACAATTGCAATTATAAAATTCATATGAGAAAAATACATTAATCGCAAGTTGGTGGACAAGGTGGTCCATTCACGAGAAAGATTAACATGAAACAAGTTCATTGCTGCTAAAGAATTTCAGTTCATTAAGACGATATCATGTTTATAATTTTCTCTACATAATCAAGTATTTGTACACCCAAGTTGTGACGATAGCCTATTTCATAAAAGTCTCTCTCATATGCCTTTGAAATAAAAGGAAAACTAATGAAAATAGTTTGAAAACTTTGAGTTTTAACAAAAATGACAAAAATGTGTTGTAAGCGAATAGTACCAAGACTAACTTTTTAGAGTAAAAATATAATTTTTTATTAAAATGAATAGTACCGGAAGTGTTTCGTTAAAAATTCGTAAAATAAATGCAAGTATTTTCAAATAAACGCACTCTAGACGTGGACACAAGTATTTTCTTAAATTTGTATCATTCCGTCAACACCGTCCATGTCCTTTGGAACCCGAACGGAAAATCCTTCCATCAGATTTTTGTGCGTCAAGGACAGACACAGTCACGGCAAATTGTCAAAGACGGACGGCCACGGCAAATTGAGAAAGACTTAAATATTTATGTGGTGGGCATTTAAAAGGACTTTAACCATTTTCTTTTATTTTTTATGATAATATTTTATTTTACATGAAAATGACTTTTGCAATATTAATAATTTTAATTGTAATGACTTGTATAGTCGTATACGAATCGATGTTGATCGGAAATAACTTACAAGAAGGCATCATAGGATGCTGACACGAGGAAATGAATAAATATGCTTCTACTAGTTTAAAAATTAAAAAAATTAAAAAAAAAGAAAAGAAAAACACAACTTGTAACAGTGAATAAAATTATAGTTGACTTTTATTGATAACTATCTTTTAACAATGCATTCAAAATCACATCTACCGGCTCATCAAATTCAAGTTAAAAAATAAATAAATAAAACATTAAAACATGAAACAATTTTCTTCAAATATTTATTTGATCCGCCAATTTATTTTATTTTATTTTAATTTGTTATCAAATGATCTTTGTTAAATTGAATGTTAGATTTGGACGTCGTCAGGGTTTGAACCCACATCGTGATACAAAAGCAATACTCTTCTCCAGCATTATGGAAGATGACCACTTGCATTGATCTAGCAGTTTAAAATTAAGAGAGTAGATTTTACATTGTTGTATAAACCGAGCTTATTGTCGTAGGCGAATGAGGATCAACTTCAGATCCTTTAATCATGTCCGTTCATTGTACATCGTGCGATCATAAATTATTGTAAATTTTTTAATTTAAAATTGAATATAAACATTACTTGACAAAAAAGCTGACCGCATCATGCACGATAAATGAACGTGATTGGAGGATCCTCATAAAAATGATCATAAGAGGATCCTCATACGTTGTGGACTTGAAATCTCCTGTAGGCTTTGGGCCACAGAATGGGCCTCACACAACACAACGTTCCAAATATGGCCGAAAAAACCAATGGACTTCTGAAGCAGGCCCGTCCTATTGGCTGCACACAAGGTACGGTATTTTTCAATGTTTACAAAATACAGAGTGATACGACACATGTTATTACATAATTGATATTTTTTTTTTAAATATCTCCACTTATATAATTGTATATAACGTATGTATCCGTATTACAACGATTGACAAATCTCTCGCTGCACCCGCAATTCACCTCAGTGGACCCTATAAACCCAAAATTCAATTACACCCAAGTCGCACATGATTCTCCCCTCAACCAAATGACCTTATTAACCCCAAAGATTCCCATCCAATTTGCAAAAGTTATAACATACCCCTGAATTATCGGTTTTGCTGTATATTCCTTCTAGATGATTTTAAGTTTTCTTGTGTGAAATTCTAGATTTTTAATTTAGTTATGTGTTCCTTAACTTTTTATTTGCGCCTGTATTTGTTTTGATTCTATTTCACATTTATTTATTTTTTTCGGATTAATAAAAAATTACATTTTATTTGTGACTACAATCAAACAAAATCACAAATTACAAAGTAACGAACCCAATACCTTCAATTTTTTCTTTAGCATCACGAGCTCAAACTTTATGGGCATAATTGAATTAAAAGTTGGGAATGCAAGGTAAAATAAGTTTAAAAGTTTAGACAATATTACTAATCTAAACTACATATTAATAGAACTATCTTTATCAACCAAAATAAGATGAAAAAAACTATTTAGTCTTTCAGTACAATAAAAAAGTTAAGAGCAATAACGTAATTTCACAAAATAAATTTTTCCTATATTTTTTTTGTTTAAGCCTCACGTGATTTTAACATCTCTAATTTAAAAATAAAAAGAAAAAACCTCTCTCCCTCCCTCCTCACTCTTAGAGCAAGTCCAGCCTTGCATAAATGGCCCGGCACCAAGTGAAGAAAATGGCCCGGCACTGTGTCCATCAGCTCCAGCCCGAAAAATAGGCTGGCACCCAGCCCATGCCAGTCAAGAGGCCAGCCCAAAATGGACAGACCCAGAGGCCGGTCCGTGTGCTGGCGCGTGCAACACACGCGGTGGAACCAACGAGTAGCCGACAGCGTCTGCAGCAGTGGGGCCCGCGGTGCAGGGCAAGTGGACTGACTCTGTCAAAGGCCTACGTGGCCCTCCTCAGAGCCATTGGATTTCCAACGGCTAGTTTTTGTAGGCCGTTGGATTTCCAACGGTAAAAAAAATTTAAATTTCACTTTTAAATTGGACCGTACGATCACAGATCAACGGTCCACGTTTTTTTCACCAAAAATTTAAAAAAAAAAGGCCCAGATAAGGTTGGATTTGATTATTTTTCAAATCCAACGGTCCAGATTAATTACAATATTAAAATTTATTAAAAATTAATTAAAAAATGTCAATTTTTTTTTTAAAAAATACAGAAAAATTTTAAAAAATTAATTTTTTTTTTCTATTCAAAATCTTAGCGGAAATCTATTCAAAAAATAGTACGTTCGGATAATAACATGTGGCGTGACGAGATTGGTTAAAAATCATATTCGAAATTAAAACTATTTTTTTTTATTATTTTATAAAAAAATTATTTAATATTTTAAATGGACTAGGTGCCAACGCATTTTGTAGGGGTGGAGATCGTTTGTGCCAGCGCATTTTTAGACTAGGTGCCAGCACACTTTTTTTGGGGTGGAGATGCTTTGGCCTATTACTGTTCATTGGGTCTATTACTGTTCAATTAAGTGGATAAATGGGCTGGGTGCTGGCGCAAAGTGGATAGGGGTGGAGTTGCTCTTACGTTATCTCTAATTCTCTTCCTCTCTCCTTCAATTAAAAAACAAAAATAAAAATTTTCAAAGACGTATACTAATTTTTTAAAATAAACAAATAGAAGGGTACTTTAGGTATATCAAAGTCATCTACTTGATGCTCACGTAGTCTCGACCGCACTCTAGCATCTCCATCCCTTTCTCTCTCCCGCGAAAAGGGCCGCGTGAATCTCCGCTACTTCTACGCCGCTGATCTCACTCTCTCACTCTCTCCGGAAAAACTCGAGTCGGACCCATCGGCCTTGACGGCGAGCCCGAACCCGAATAGCGTACGGAGATGAAGCACAAGAGCGAGCTCAGCTCTTTCCCCACGGCGAACAAGCTGCTGAAGTTCGCTTTGATCGGTCTCATTGGGTGCCTGGGCTTGCTCTGTTTGTACTACGGGTGGTCTTTCGGGCCGGGCTCCCGGAGATCCGACGAGGAGGCTTCTGGGTCCGATGGAGTCGACCCGCTTTTCGGCGGGTTCGTTCTCCATCACGATTTGGATGATTTGCATGACGACCAGGAGCACAACTCTGAGGTCCCCAAAAGCTTGCCTGTAAGTAACGCAGCAATTAATGGTTTATTTTTTTTTTGGTGATTAGTGTCATTATTGCTAATTAATCAAAGATTAATGCATATTTCAATCCAGTTAACTCTTTGTAGCAGTTAAATTAAAACTGAATTACTTGTTAATTTGGTGTTGGTGCAACGGAAAGTTGCTCCTTTGTAACCAATTTGTGACCTAACGGTCACGGGTTCGAGTCGTGGAAACAGTCTCTTTGCAAAGCAAGAGCAAGGCAGCGTATGATAGACGTTCTTCCTGATCCTTGCAAAGCAGGAGGGCTTGGGGTGGCCCTTTATTTGGGAAGAAGAAATTGCCCTTTTGTATAACCGATTGTTTTATCTGGATCTTGTCGAATGCTGTTATTTATAATTCATAAATATTAAACTTTTTGTTCCAAAATTAGTAGAATGTGCTCATTTTGCTCAAGTTGATGGCTTTTAGTGTTTTTGCAGATATGCGATTTACGGTTTTCGGAGTTGATACCTTGTCTGGATAGAAACCTTATTTACCAACTGAGATTAAAGCCGAATTTGACGTTAATGGAGCATTACGAACGGCACTGCCCGCCTCCAGAGCGGCGTTATAATTGCTTGATACCGCCCCCACTTGGTTATAAGGTAGGTTGTCATTGCTTCTGTGAGTTTTACTTTGCTTGACTTCGCCTAGTTTTGATTCCGACCAAATTGTTTCTAGAATTTCAGATACCTATAAGATGGCCGGCAAGTAGAGATGAAGTGTGGAAGGCCAACATTCCCCACACCCATCTTGCTCGAGAGAAGTCAGATCAGAATTGGATGGTTGTGAATGGGGACAAGATCAATTTTCCGGGTGGTGGGACACATTTCCATGATGGAGCTGATAAGTACATTGTTGCTCTTTCCAGGGTACTTAAACCTTGACTCACTTCTCAATTCCTATTATATTTGTCAAATAGTATATAAGGTATAGTAAGTAGAAAGGAAAAACGAAACCTATTTAGATATTTGGCTGAATTAGGCTTGCGCTAGTGAAGGTTGTTTCCTCCTGTTTCACATAATGGGATTTTTATATTGAAAATTTTAATTATGCTGTTTCTTTTCGTAGTTTCAATTGCTTCACTGGTGAATAATGCCCCATAGATTGAAATAGCATAGCACTTTTCTTTCTTCTGTAATGGTATGCTTATTATTTGTGCAGATGCTTAAATTTCCTGGTGATAAATTCAATAATGGTGGAAATATCCGTAATGTTCTCGATGTGGGTTGTGGAGTTGCGAGTTTTGGGGCATATCTTCTTTCTCATGACGTCATAGCTCTGTCCCTTGCTCCAAATGATGTGCATGAGAATCAAATACAATTTGCACTAGAGAGGGGCATTCCCTCTACTCTTGGTATCTTGGGTACAAAAAGGACTTACTTATCCAAGCAGATCATTTGAGCTGGCTCATTGCTCTCGGTGTCGAATAGATTGGCTTCAAAGAGATGGAATCCTGTTATTAGAGCTGGACAGATTACTAAGACCTGGAGGGTATTTTGTGTACACTTCTCCTGAAGCATATGCAAATGATCCGGAAAATCGGAGGATCTGGAATGCTATGTATGATCTTCTGAAAAGAATGTGCTGGAGAGTTGTAACAAAGAAAGAGCAGAGTGTTGTATGGGCCAAGCCACTGACTAATAGTTGTTACTTAAAGAGAGATTCTAGGACCCGGCCCCCTCTGTGCGATTCCAAGGATGACCCTGATGCAAGTTGGAATGTGAGCATGAAGGCGTGCATTTCTCGATACTCTTCAAGTAAGTAGCATTGCTATACTTTCATTGTTAATATTTTGGGCTTCCACCTCCTAATCTTATTATCTTATCATTTTCTAAAATTGTAAAACAGAGATGCACAAGGAAAGAGGAAGTGGTCTAGCTCCTTGGCCACAGAGGCTTACCGCTGCACCGCCTCGCCTGGAAGAAATTGGTGTCAGTCCTGAAGAATTCCAAGAGGACACTGTAAGTTTCCTGTTTACAAGCTAACTGTTCACATTGATGTTTGCCTACTAATCTATATTGTTCTATTTAATGAGAGACGGAAATCCATGTGATGCAGAGCATATGGCACTTCAGAGTGATTGAGTACTGGAAGCAGATGAAGTCTGTCATACAGAAAAATTCAATTAGAAATGTTATGGATATGAACTCATACCTTGGTGGATTTGCTGCTGCCCTGAATGAAAAAGACGTCTGGGTGATGAATGTTGCTCCTGTCCTTGTATCTGCCAGACTCAAGATCATCTACGATCGAGGCTTAATTGGAACTGTTCATGACTGGTATGCATTTTGATCCGATTATTCTCAGCAATTACAAATTATAATATCCTTATACGTATTATTGGTCTGTAGTCTGTTGAATATTCACACTCAATGTATTTGTATAGGTGTGAAGCATTTTCTACGTATCCACGTACATATGACCTTCTACATGCGTGGGAAGTATTCTCAGAGATTGATGAGCGGGGGTGCAGTACAGAGGATCTACTGATTGAAATGGATAGGATACTCAGACCAGATGGGTTTGTCATCATAAGAGACAAACCTGCTGTTATAAACTATATTCGAAAGTTTGTGACTGCCTTGAAATGGGATGGCTGGTTATCAGAAGTAGAACCACGGGTCGATGCTCTTTCCTCAAGGGATGAAAGAGTTTTGATTGCTAGAAAGAAGTTGTGGGACGAGGGGACTTCAGAAATGTGATTCTGCTTTGCTTTTCAGGTATATGACCTAATTTATGTGAGTTCTTCATTTCTAGTTATTACTGCATTTACGTATATTGTACGAAGAGTTCCATATGTATTGATATTTACTTGTTAATTTGTGCAAACTCTCACTTTGCGGAAATTTGACATTGTTTTTCTCCTCGTTCAAGATATGCTAGATGCGGTATTGGTGCATGGCCCTGCTCAGGTCGTAGAGTGCATAGAAAGAGGAATGTCTCCAGTTACTGATCGAGGCCATGGTGTGCGTTGTTTCGTGAGCGTGAGATGGTAGCGGTACACAGGGATAGAGATATAGATATGTAGTTAGAAAATGTGTGAAGTTATGGTAGGAGAAGGTGCAACCTCAATTGAAGAAAAACTTGAATAACTAGGAGCTGTTCTGTATTGGGATATATTATAGTAATTGGAAATTGGTTACATGAACTCAATAACTACACTCTTATGCTGCCTCTTATGCAAGTTTCCCAAACACTAGCATAACTTTGACGTACCGGTTACATGTAAGTTATTTTCGTATGTTTCATATCTTACATGAAAACTAATACGCGAATGTGGGGTATTCAAAATCAATCACGCAATGATGTAGGGACAAGTTTAAACATATGATTACATGTAAGTTATTCTCATATGCTTCATAACTTGTATGCAACCAGGACGCTAAAGTGGTGATCTCTAAAACCAATTACAGGATGACACCTGAACAAGTTCAAATACATGACAATGCTGTGATAGACTCGGATACCGCCCATCTTTGACTTGGTATACAAGCCTACAACCTCGGCTTTTGTGGCCGAAAGGTTTAATTTTTTCCGGCGAGGTGGTCAGAATGTTCAAATTTTGCCGGCTAGGTGGTCGAAAGGTTGATTTTGATAATTACGAGCCTCAACGCCAACAAATGGGAATAATCCATTAACACATAACCCAGCTCAGTTGGTAAAACATCGATCAATTCAATAGTCATGGGCAAAATCTTGATTAATTTACACTTAACAAAATGTTTTGGCCTAATAACATCACTAGAGCAGAAAATACAACCTTCAAAAGAGCTTCGAACCGGAACCGAAATCACCCCTTACCAAATACTTCAAAAATTGCTAGGAGCAGTTAATCTTTATCACAGTTCTTTCTTCAAGTCTTTAATTTCGTAAATTGCAGATTAGTCGCTTGGTGATCATGTCGTGCTCTTTTTACTCTTCTTCTTCCTTGAAGCAAAGCTGCTCGGTCCAATTTCTATGGACATTCTTTTCGTCCTGCAAAGCATAAGAACAATAATTGAGTACTTTCAGCAGAACATCAATGGCGTTCATTGTAAACAAAATAGAGACCGGAGAGCAAACAGAAATTAAGAAGCACTCATACCGCTTGGAGAGCTCTTCTGACTCCTCGTCGCCATCTTCAAATGCACCATCTGAAACTAAAGACATGATAAAATTCAAGGTCAGCTGAAAGATCCAACAATAACATATGCAAAATACCAAATGCTGGATCAACATTATACTTTTGTTGTTCACGACTAAAGATATACCAGCTCCATCAATCTCGCCATCCTCGCCATCCTTCTTCTCTGACTCTGAACCAGAACCCCACCTGTCACCTCCATCGTCAAAGTCCCAACGTTCTCCCACTGGAGGCATCCAAAAGTCAGTTTCTTCTGTATCGCCTTCCTCATCAGAAGCCTTACTTTTTCCAGACATAATCTCATCAACTCCATCATCCTTCTTCTTATTCTTCTTTTTCTTCTTCTTTCTGTCTCCGTCTTCTTCTTGGTCAGATACTATTTCCGGGTTCTGATCATCCACCTCTGCTACCACTCCCTTGGCTTTTAGCTTCTCTTCTTCCTTCTCTTCTGTTTATATAACCGACACGAACATCACCATTAAACACATTGGAGTCCGAAAGCCAATCCATACACAAATTCGAAAAAGAACGAAACAATATACGAACCCAGCCTGTTGAGGAAGCGTTTCCCATTTACATGCTTCCAAATGTGCTCCTCTGACTTATTGATAGTATCCCCTGTAAGCTTACACACCAACTTTGAACTGCACAAGGAAAGCAAATGAACCAGGTTTCAGCATAAACCCGAAATCTCTGCTTGGTTTGCAGTAAAATTTAAAAGCTTTTCGTATATCAATTCGCAACATGGCAAATATAAACAAACGTAAATTCAACATTGGCCTGTTTCCGACCAACAAATGCGATTTTGATTATCTTTGGGAAAACACCAGAAGGTAAAAGCGCTTTCTGCAGAAGCACCTACTCAGCAAGTACTTCCAAGTATTTTTCCAGAAAGCACTTTAATTTTAATGAAAATTCGGACATGTTTCTAGGAAGCACAAGTGCTTTTGATCAGAAGTGCTTAGCGATCAAACCCAGCTGAATTCCAATGTAAACTATGCAACAATGAATCAAAGTTTAAATCTTTATGTAACCGAAGCGAAAGAAAATGAAATTACCGGGAAAGAGGATCCTGCTTGAACATGTTGAGAGGAGCTTTCTTATGGGAAAGGGCATATTCGATTAGGCCCAAACGGCACCGTTTGCTATGAGAGTACACTTCCTTGTCTTTGGCCACCAATTCGTGGCCTGTCTCGACGCACTGGAAGCGGCCATTTTCGAGCTCCTTGAAGGTCGGCGAGCCCAGTAGGTTGCTCCCTTCCTTCTCCTCCTCCTCCGCCTTCTTCTCAGTCGTCGCCATTGCTGAGTAGCCTGAGTTTGTCAAGTTGCCGCGCAGAGAGATGGAGAGCCAGCGAAGACACTATGTTTTGGGCCCCCAGACCTAGTTATAAGCCCGCCTCGTCTGGTCCTGGACTCCTAAGCCTTTTGGGCCTGAGAAATGGAGAGCCAGCGAAGACACTATGTTTTGGGCCCCCAGACCTAGTTATAAGCCCGCCTCGTCTGGTCCTGGACTCCTAAGCCTTTTGGGCCTATTTTTTTTGGATCCGAGTGTGTAAATGTGAGACCATTTCTATTTTGGGCCTTCTCTTTTGCTATTCCCATTGAATAGAGAGAGACCAATACGTAGCTGGAACGTCAAAATGATGTTGTCTCAAATCCATAAAGTGTCACAATGAATTTAATGATTAAAAAATTTTAAAGTTGCTATCAACGGTGATGCTGAGGGCTGCTAATTCATATCATGTCACATCAGATTTGATTTTAGTTCTGATTTAGATATTTTGACATCTCTTTTGAAAATTCTCTTAATTGTCCTTATGACCATCGCTCACTTGTAACACTTATAAAAAATGGTCACACGACGAATGTTATAGGTAAAAAATAACAAACAAACATTTAAAAGACTTAAGGCTTGTTTGAATGTACTTTTGAAATGACTAAGAGCCTTTTAGAGAAAATATTTTTGGGTTTCAAAAACACTTAAAGTGCTTTCTGCAAGAAGCATCAGTTTTGTACTTCTTCCATGAAGCACTTTAAGTGTGTTTTTTTTTTTTTTTATTTTATTTTTTTTAGAATTTACTTGCATCTTTACTAATAATTAGTTCTAAAAATATTTCACTAAAAACGCTTTCGATCATTTCAAAAGCGCATCGAAACATATCGTTTCTCCGAAACACCCATGCAATAATAGATCTGTCATGCTGTTCATGAGTTTATGGCATATAGAGACAACCGTGGTCCAGTTTTAATGAACTTATGTACGGTACACACTGACCCTTACACGAGAGTCACAAACCTCGCATCTACAAAAAAAAGATTTAGTGTGTTGTGTCGATACACCAAATTTTATAATACAAACATTTAGAAATTTTACTTTTTCAATTATCAACTATTTGTATTATAAAACTTTCGATATTCCGACATACTGAAAATCTCTCCGCATCCACCGACTACATTCTAACTTTATTCTCCTTTTTTCGGCGCCTAGTAAATTCAACAGCACATGCCTGTGAATCTCTCTAATGCATATCTTTGTCCCCACGTATAATAAAGTAGGATAACTTTATCCTATCCAAACCAGTCCCTTCCTATACAGGTTTCACATTTTCAAATGCTGCATGATTAGCCTCACTACCATCAGCCAAACGGTGGAAATGGAGTTTCGGAAACTGCTTCTGGCATCCGGGTTCTTCTTGGCTTCGTGGGTTTTGGCAGTGGGAGGCCAGAACTTACCACCCTGTTCTTTTCCGGCAATTTACAACTTCGGGGACTCAAATTCCGACACCGGTGGCATATCCGCTGCATTTGAGCCAATCAAACCTCCTAACGGCGAAGCATTCTTCAATAAGCCCGCCGGGAGGGCCGCCGATGGCCGCCTTGTCATAGACTTCATAGGTAACAACTATATCAAGGGAAATACTTACTTTCCTAATCACAGTCTGACGTGACGTGCATATGATTTATTTTTGTGTTTTTGTTATTATGCGTGTGCATTAAACTGTAATTTACAAAAACGAGGAGTGTCGGTGTCCTTAAATATTTAGGCTGGTTTTATTATTTAGTTAGTGTGCTGATTGAGTTGAATGGTAATTTTTGTGCAGCTGAGCGCCTAAAGCTGCCGTACTTGAGTGCATATTTGAACTCACTTGGAACAAATTACCGGCACGGTGCGAATTTCGCCACCGGCGGATCCACCATCAGAAGGCCGAACGAAACCATCTTTGAGAACGGCATTAGTCCTTTCTCCCTCGACATGCAGACGGCGCAATTCCTGCAGTTCAAGGCTCGCACCGCCGATCTCTACCGCCAAGGTTCGATCTTTTTAGTGCCGAAAACTGCTTCAAGTTTCACTCTTTGTTAGCTGTTTAACTGTGAACTGTTTGCGATGTCCTCCAGCGAAGAACCCTTCTCAGAGAAGCGCTCTGCCGAATCCTCAAGATTTCGCAAAGGCGCTCTACACGTTTGATATCGGGCAAAATGATCTATCCGCGGGTTTTCGGAAGCTAAGTTTCGACCAGCTACGTGCACAGCTGCCGGACATTGTCAGCCAGTTAGCCATAGCAGTCCATGTAAGTAGCACCATGACAATTGCTTAAAACCAAGAACCTTAAGTGGGTCAATTTCGAATTGCTTATGTAGGAAGCACTTCTACTAGAAGCGCTCATTGGAGCACAAAAAATCTTCATGTTTCTAATATCGGTTGCGATTGATTGACAAACTTCAGCGGATATATGAAGAAGGAGGGAGGACATTTTGGATACACAACACAGGTCCTGTTGGTTGCTTGCCTATACAGTTATTCTACAATCTGAATCCGCCGCGAGGTTTTCTCGACGACCACGGCTGCGTCAAGGCCCAAAACGATATCGCCGTAGAGTTCAACAGGCAGCTAAGGGACAGAGTCACCAAACTCAGAGCCGAGCTCCCACAAGCTGCGATCACATATGTCGATGTCTTTGCCGCCAAGTACGGACTCATCGGCACTGCAAAGACCGAAGGTACCCAATTTCTTCAACTTCACTACCACGAATTATCTTGTTCGATACCGATCAACGTTACAATTTTGTTTACAGGATTCGCCGAACCAATGAAGGTTTGCTGCGGGTATCATGTGAAGTACGACCATGTCTGGTGCGGGAATAAAGGAAGTGCGAGCGGAAGGGAAGTGTACGGTGCTTCATGTCAAAACCCGTCGGCTTTTATCAGCTGGGATGGAATTCACTACACTCAGGGTGCGAACCAGTGGGTTGCTAATCGTATACTCAATGGCTCGCCTTCGTCAATCCCGGCAATTCCGATTACTCAAGCTTGTCATAGGCATTGAGAGTTCTACAGTAATAATATACATTCAGTCTTTTCCTATTACATCTTCCTATTGTTTTTACTTTTCCATTTCACATCAATGCTTGGTATGATATACAATTCCGTCCTCCTCCATCGGAGGCTAACAGAGGCCGGAAAGGTCGCCGACCTCTTTTTAGTTCCAGGTGGACAGGCATTTGGGACCGTTGTCACTGGAGATTGAACTTAGTGCTAGGCTTCCGCTTTGGGTCCGGCCTAGGTGATGAAACTGAACGTACTTTGGTTAGCATTCTGCTTGTATCGACTTCCGTCTGTCCCTCTAGTCTCTGATCCTTTCAAGCATAGAATGAAGCGAGTGGGGATTTCCGGCTTTCAGCTGCTTTCTCTGCTCTTAGGTTCGTACATGAGAGCAACTTCTATGGCATGGGACGCCACGCTGACGGTATTCCCATGCCATAGGAGTATTTTTCATAAAATTTTGATTCGAGTGTGACAAACAAAATACAATCGTCGTGGTGGTGCAAACAAACCTAACAAAGGTGGTGGGTTGATGCAATTCTGAGAAAACACAACACTCGGCTACAAGCCTCCAAATGAATCATGGATCATTAAACTTCGATTTGATTGTGACAACCAACCAAACATGTACTGTAACATTCAGAATGCTAACAAACAGATGCCAACTTACTTCACTTTCAATCGATCGCATTCGGATCCATCTCAGTTCCTCTTCCACTTCCCACTCAACAAAGAGCCAAACTCAGAACACAACACAAACTTCACATGCCAGCAGGCATTCCTCTGCTTCAGACACTAACAAAAAGTATAAACTCCTTCCAAAATCCTTTTTCGCTCACCCTTGGATTGATATCAAGAGTTGAGAATCGAACATTAAAAGCACATCCGTTTATCTTTCGCCCCTGATATCAACTTAGGTCAATACCGACTAACTCCAAGGCAACAACAATTCTAACACTCACTGACCTTTCCATAACACACAAAATGTTGATCGACCAAACCCTAATTCAAACATATGTATTGACTTCAAATGAAAAAACCGAAGGCGAAAACCACAATGAATGAGATCGAGCTATCAACAAAACCATGATCACCACAAGTAATTAGTAAGTTGTCTATAGTTCCAATCATATGTAGATAAACAAAGATTATCCTAACTAACAATTTCGCTATCAACTCACTCGATATTGGACTGGATAACACTAGCTCCAACAGTCTTGCCGCCTTCCCTGATAGCAAACCTCATTCCTTGCTCGCAAGCCACCGGCATTATAAGCTCCACCACCATCTTCACCCGGTCTACCGGCATCACCATCTTCGACTCCTCATCCTTGTCATTCTTAACTCCAGTCACCTTCCCTGTCACATCCGTCGTCCTCATGTAAAACTGTGGCCTGTATCCTGCAAGGAATGGGGAATGCCTCCCGCCCTCCTCCTTCTTCAACACATACACAATCGCCTCAAACTTCGTGTGAGGCTTAATGTTGCTCGGCTTCGACACCTCCATCCCTCTCTAGATATCCCCCTTCTGAATTCCCCTCAGCAGAAGCCCCACATTGTCACCGGCCATTGCCTCATCGAGTGTTTTCTGAAACATCTCCACCCCTGTCACCGTTGTGCTCCTAGTCTCTCTCAATCCCACTATGTCCACACTGTCCCCAACCTTCACTTTACCCCTCTCCACCCTTCCCGTCACCACCGTGCCCCGGCCCGTGATTGAAAACACATCCTCAACCGCCAACAGGAACGGCAGATCAACTTGCCGTTGTGGAATTGGAATGTAACTATCCACAGCATCCATCAAAGCATAAATCTTGTCCGCCCACTCGTTCTCCCCTCTCTTGATTTTCGGGTTAGCCATTAACGCCTCCAGAGCCAGCATTGCCGAGCCGGAAACCACCGGCACATTTTCTCCCGGAAACTCGTACGACGACAGGAGCTCCCGGACCTCCAATTCCACCAGCTCAAGCAGCTCCTCGTCGTCCACCTGATCCTGCTTGTTCAGGAAAACGACCACATTGGGCGCGCCGACTTGTTTGGCCAGCAACACGTGCTCTTTGGTCTGGGGCATGGGGCCGTCGGCGCTGGAGACGACGAGGATGGCGCCGTCCATTTGGGCTGCGCCGGTGATCATGTTCTTGACACAGTCAGCGTGACCGGGGCAGTCCTCGTGGGCGTAGTGGCGGGTTTCGATCTCGTACGTCATCACTTAATAGTTAACTAGATGATCAATTTTGAAGGGAAAGAGCATCTCTAATACTAAGAGTAGCTCTAACTTTTTTAACATTTAGTCTCTTTAAGACGAGGCTTTTGGATTTAGATTTCTAAAATAGAATTTTAGTGATTTTATAGCTTCAATTTATACATGCTTTAAAATAAATAGAACATTAAAACCTCGTAATTCATTTTGACGTCAAATGGTGTGAAACGCACGTTCCTTAAAACTAAACGAGTCACTTTACATATAATATAAAGCCACATAATAGTAACATTCCCAATCCCCGAGTTTTTGAAAAGTGTGTTTTTACTGTGGGACAAGAAAAGTAGAAAATTGCACCATACGATCTAGAGGGCAATTAACTTTAATTTATACACAACCTATAAACAGCAACAAAGAATCACTGGCGATGGCCTTCCGGCAGGGCAACCACCCTATGGAAGGGCACTGTTCTCTGAGGCAAGGATCCGTCTTCCTCGTCGTCAGTCAAATTCCAACAAATAACTGTCCAAATTCAAACATTGAAGCATCATATCACGCATGTAACAAGGAAACAACTAAATTACGATGCCTAAAACAAAATCCATAGAGAGGTAACTTACTCATCTGTCTTCCTCTGATGGTTGAGCAACCGACAGAAGCGTGCAAAGCATGATCAGGGGTTAGTTTAGTTCCACGGCATAATCACAACGATACTAAAAACACAAATCTACAAAGAAAAGTGCATCAAAGTGGATGGATGGAATCGTCACCTTGCGATGGCCATTCACCACAGTTGCCTTGTATAGTGCAGTTGTTCCTGGATATACAGCCAAAACGGGTCTTCCAGTAGGGAAATCTTTAGCACTGGAAGGATCGTTTCTCTTCGGGAAAGGGATAATAGCGCTCATAGGTAACTTGTACTTTCTGAGAGCAGCAACAACAAAGAAGCAAAATGGTGAATGTCCCAAATCAGTGAGAAACTAATTAGATGCAGCTAAATCGAAGAAAAATTCATCTGTGGTAAGCTAAAATAAAAAGATCATGAAAAAGAAAGTTAAGCATCCAAAAAGAACCTGAATTGTTAAAACAGAAAAAGCAATACCTTTGGACACCACCCTCTTCATCATCACCCGGCTCCTCATCTAGTACTTCAAATCTGCACAATTCTAACTAGCATCACACAATTTCCGAAACAAACAAACCAAGCTGGCAGATAACGACTGTGCTAAAAAATTATACAAATTAAAACGAATCGTCACATAGTAAGTTAAACTAGACTTACTCTCTTGTATCCTTGTCAAAATGTATCACTTTTACAACAAACCACTCATCCTTGTCAGCATCTTCTTGAGTGACTGTAACCCTAGCTGCTACCTAAAAGTGACAAGTTAATGTCAACAAACCGAAATTCAAAGAGAAGAATTAACTGAAGGATTACATCATAACCAAGAGCAACAGAGTGGCCTTTGCAAACGCATACCTGTTCCCCTTTCAGACTAGCACAAGCCTCGAGTTCACTTCGCACAGAAGGGGAAATCCTTGAAATGTCTGAATCAGTCTTCATTCTCTTCCTTTTCTGCTCATTACCTTCTGCAGTATATGCAATATCAGCTAAATGAAGAAATTATAGTGTTTTCCAAAACGCACCTGAATCTCAATGGAATATTAGCCACTACATCTAATGTCATATACGTATTTATTTATTTATTGGTTAAGCATAATAATGGCATCTGACAATTATCATAAACTGTGAAATATTTATGTAAAACTAAAAGCCAATGGAAATATGTAAATGTTTAAAGGGAATGCTTATAGCTCCTGATTCCATACCCATCCTTCTTCGCGGCTGCCCTGGAGGTCCAGAAGGCAATAGAGCATCGAGTTGACTCAACAACAAATTGGATACACTGCAACAAAATACAATAAACTAACCTGAACAGCTTATCAATAAACTAAAGCTAACTTGCACAAAAAAGAGGTTGAGACAAGCATGAGCTTCAACAACATATTTCTTTAATCTTCAGCCAAATAACCGAAAAAAGACAATATGTAAGCTTCCTAGGAGTTTTTAACCCTTTTTCTTTTCAGTTCCAAGGAAGTGTTTAACTTGAAGAGAGATAAAAAGAAACATACGTTACTTCACTTTCAGAAAGATCTTTGGCATGCACATATAAATTCTTCAGCTTTGACAATGAATTATCCCCAGGCTTCTCAACCACTTCAGGAGCTGCGTATTAACATGCCGAGAAAGATTAAAAAAGAAACCAATATTATTAAACATATTGGTCATTCCTCACTTCTAAACTGAATGTTAACTATCTACTATATTGAAAAACAGAAAAAAAAATATTCATCAAAACATCCAATTATAAAGATTAACAGAATATTTCCAAAGACTAACAAAGTGACTTACTAGTTTGGAGCTTCTTATGCATCTTGTTTATCTCGATGAGCACATCTTCTTGCTCTTTCCTTAATTGATCGAGCTCTTTCGACTTTTCCAGTATTCCTGCAATGTCCGGCGCTGACATTGTTCCGTCCCAAAATTTCACTCCCACCAAATTCTGAGCTCAATCTTTTCCCCCTAAAATTCCAACTCAATCATCAGCAATGCACAAGCATACGAAAACTAAAATGGGGTTTCTTTCTCTTGCATAAATTATACATACCTAATTCTACAACTCAAGAACCATACGAGTTAAAATTCTGGATTAAAAATTTCTTTATGGGTAAAAAATGGATGATACTATCCACACATCCCTTTTTACCGCTCAAACACTCTGTCAATTTCTGTCCTTAATTTTCTTCAGTTCATTCAATCTGACAAACGAAAGCTAAGATAACTGGATATATTCAAATTAACGTAAACTGGATTCATCTTCTTCCTCATTCCTCAATTTACAGATATATTCACTAATCAATGATTAAATTTTACACAGAGTAAAAAAATCATAGAAAGTAATTAAGCAACATTAACCTACAAAAATTCCAATTAAAGCAGATATTCCGAATTCCGAGACAAACCAGATTATGAACAACGAATATTTCCCCAAATCAAAATACTGAGAATTGGAAACCCTAAAAGCTCAGAGTAAGAGGAGCACCTGTGAGTAAGAATGCGGGTGAGGAGCGAGAGAATCACCGGCGGGTGAGACTAGAGCGCGGAAACCGTGCTCGAACGGAAATTCAGAGATTTCTTCATAGACTCTTTGGCCGATTAACTGAGCATCGGATATTACAAATTTGCACTGCGATTAAACATTTTTGTTTTCATAATTTATGGAGAAAAAATAAAAAAAAAAAAGGTAAAATACCCAAAACGACACCAATACCATTTTCAATTCTTTTTTTAAAAAGTAAATGCATTAGTGAAAAGACCTAATTGCCCTCCTTTTACCCGATTGTCAGATGAGATTCGACACTCAACGGAAAGTCTCACCTTAATTTTCAAACTTCACAGTGAGATGAAGGTGAAAATACATACATTGAATCATTTTTGTGCATTTTTGTTAATTTTTTTTTTATTTCTCTTACCACTACAACAAACTATCATATTCATGTTCTTCAAGCTAATTTTTTTCGTGTGTGGAGCCTGACTCGTTTTCTAGGCACCCGGGGGTTTGCCTCGTTCTGCATGTGAGGTGTTCGCATCGTTTTGCATGCAAGAAGCCCATCCATTTTTGCGTCCACGGAGCCGACGTCGTTTTGGGATGCACGAAACTAGCCTCATTTTCCATGTGCAGGGTTGGCCTTAATTTGTGCGACGTGTCCCACCTCGTTTTGCATGCCAGAAGGCTGCCTAGTTTGATGTGGGTAGAACCTACCTAGTTTTGCATGCCTTGGTTTGCCTTGTTTTGCGTGAGCTGAGTCTGATTCATTTTGCTTGTGTTATGCCTGCACTAACACCCACGTTTTTTTGAAAAAAATGCAAATTTTTTATTTTCGCAAAATATTTTTCCTGAGCGTTAAGTTAAACTCTTTAAGGAATTTGAAAGCAGTTTTACAGTTTATTGAGCAACAAATGTATATTTAGTCAAATATTTGAGCCAAAAACTAAAAAAATAAGTGGACAAACATAGTAGTGAGGCCCAGAACATTGTCAAGGTCAAAACGGGTTTTGTTGACATATTATCGACACGCTATTCACTTTTGATTCCCTCCTTAATATGATCGAAGTGTTTAAACAAAGGGTAATTGTGTATTTTTTGCAAAAATAAAACGTTAGCTTCGTAAGATGCGAGTTCAGATCTCAAAACCAGAATTTGTCTTTTCTTAAAATATGTAATTAAATAGAATCTTGTTGGAAGCGTAGTTTAAACTAAGAAATTCCTAAAAATGAAGATCTATTTAACAAGAGCAATGTACTCACTCTTGCACTACCAAATCACAACCATCATTTCCTGATCATTTGAAAATCACGGATATCTTTGTTTCTTCTTAGCCACTGCGCAGGCGCACCCTAAGACTTCCGCACTTTGGTCAACGGCCGGATTTCCACCAGTTCACGCGGGTCCCACAAACCCCCTTATCCAACGGCGGGGGCTACATCCTCTGGTTCAAAACTTCCCATCACGAGCGCCCCACGTGCTTAGAGAAAAGTCCAAACGGAATCACGAAGCTCGTTTACAAAAGGCGTTACAGAAATGGAGTCCGTCGGGGAATTCAAATCTCAGCAGTTCCTCGTAGGTGCCATTTTCAAAAGCACAATCGGTTTCGGAGAAACAGGGAAACGGAACTGGAACGCCGGCCTTGCTGGATAACGGAGCTGGGCCGCGTCCGGTTGTGCTCCGCCGCGTTGACGATATTTTTTTACGGCAAAGTCACCTCCGTACGTGTTTACCTTCTCGTTAGATACTAATTACTTTCCTTAATCCCAGTAAATATTTCCGGATTTGATGCTGTTAACTGAGTTTAACTTCATGCCAATAAATTTAATGAATTTAGAAACTCCCGCTGAATTTTCCGCATTAAATTTCATGCCATTTTAACGTAAATATAATCTCGCTTAATTGGTTGCTTAGCTATGAATTTTGATGTAATTAGAATTTGGATCAGCTGATAAGTGGTGTAAACAAAGCCAGTGAGCTATTGTGGTGAAATTAATTTGATGTTTTAAAATTAATTTGATGGTTTAAGCTAAGTAATTTATCTTCTCAGGGTTTTGGATTAATGGTTAATTTTCCATGAAGGCAGGCAGTTCACTGATGAACCTGTAGAGTCTGCCGATTTTCGCATGTATGGAACTCCTGCTGCTTGCTAGAATTCAACCTGTATCTTTGTGACTCTGGAATCGTAGTAATTTCAGTAATATGGTGTCTCCCATACGCATGTACGAATCTTTAAACTTTTGCTTTTGGTTTGGTCATTCTTTAATCTTTACGTTCGTTGATGTTATAACGGGACTCAGAGTTTGCATCATTTGTGTAATGTGAACCTCTTTTGAGCTGCAGCGGAAATTTGAGAAACCCTAATGAGACAATGAGGCTTGTGGTGACGATCTTTGTTGGAGTTGTAATCGGATTCTTTGTAGGAGTATCTTTTCCAACACTTTCGTTGACTAAGGTGCGCGAATTATCATTTTATCGTTTTTCTGTATGGTTGTGTTTCACATTAATTTGGTTCCGAATCCAGATCATATACAGAGAACATGGACTTACGAATTGTGTTTGAATGTGTTAGATGAATCTTCCGTCCACCCTTTTCCCTTCAATTGATCTTTCGTACATAGAGGAAAAGTACTCTGGGTTTTCAACCCAAGCACTGTTGAATGCCTGGTCTTCTTTGAAGGGAAACGAAGTGCGCACTGAAAACTATGTATCTCAGGAGACAAAGGTATGTTTAAATTATACTTGTGCAGCACAAATGGATTTAGGCCTTCTCCTAGGCTAATTATCGTAATACTTTTGAGCAGAAATTGCTTGCTTGCTAGTAAAGGAAATTAAGATACTTCTCTGAGTGCACACGCTCGTATAGTTTTTTCTAGGGGCAAAGTTAAAGGATTCAGTGAAAGGTTATCTTTTTCTTTGGGCTGTTTTGATGTTGTAATTGTTACAGGAAATTTGGTGCAATCTACTGTTCTGAAGTTTATGTGCTGGCACTGACTTCTATCCATTTGCCTACAATGCAGATTTGGGTTCCAACTAATCCTCGAGGGGCTGAAAGCCTACCGCCTGGTATCGTTGCATCTGAGTCGGATTTCTATCTTCGCCGACTATGGGGCCTGCCCAGTGAGGTGGGCATCTGCTATTATAAGTTTAGTATGAATGACGCGTCTGACCTCTAGATTCCTCTCTTCTATAAAGTCATTGAGTTTGATGCCTGTGCGGTGATAGTAATGAAATACATCATGAAAGAGTGATATTCAGTTACCTTTCCTCTCTTTAGAGGATTACTAAAAATTTCACTTAGTCCCTACGAGACCTGTTCTCTAATCTTAGCCCTTTCTTTTGGAGGTGGAACTTGCAGGACTTACTTGTCAAGCCAAAGTATCTTGTAACCTTTACTGTAGGTTATGCTCAGAAAAAAAATGTTGATGCAGCTGTTAAAAAGGTCAGTTCTCTCAACCAATTTAATTGTGCATGTATTTATCTCTCTTTCTCTGACTAACGTAAATTTACAGTTTTCAGAGAATTTCACCATACTCTTGTTTCACTATGATGGTTTGACAAGTGAATGGGATGAATTTGAATGGTCGAAGCGGGCTATCCACGTGAGCATACAGAAGCAAACTAAATGGTTAGAAAGAAATGAGCTCCTTTGTATATTTAAAGTTTGTCCTAATAGTTCTGCAACGGACTTATGTTAAATCCCACAAGAGTTATGTTTTCACATAAGATTTCTGGAAACTGCTTCCAGGTGGTATGCCAAGCGGTTTTTGCATCCTGACATTGTGGCACCCTACGAATACATATTTATTTGGGATGAGGATCTCGGTTTGGAGCACTTTAATGCAGAGAAGTGAGCGTTGGAAATTAACTTTGCTGTTTTAATTGAAAACTACTACTTGTATGAACTATATATTAAGGCATCAATCTTCTTTGAACCAGATACATAAAGTTGGTCAAGAAACATGGTTTGGAAATATCACAGCCTGGTTTAGAACCAAATAGCGGGCTAACATGGCAGATGACGAAGCGGAGAGGTGATAGTGAAGTTCACATGTAAGATTGGCTGATTTTCCTATCTTTCTTTGTCTTTCGCTCATTGATAATATATCACTTTATTTTGGGTTCACCGGATTCAAGTGATGACTCAAATTGCTGCTTTACCTATGTTTTCTTGAACCTCTTCATACAGGCAGACAGAGGAGAAACCTGGTTGGTGCAACGATCCGCATTTGCCACCATGTGCAGCGTATGTATATATAAATCTTCATCACCGCTGTGGAAACTTTGGAATGTGTTCGGACTTCTAATGCATTATACCTTGAACACCAAAACATGCAGGTTTGTTGAAATTATGGCACCTGTGTTTTCTCGCGACGCATGGCGTTGTGTTTGGCATATGATTCAGGTATTCATTATCGTCTTTCACCGTTCAAACTATTGCGAACCTTGAGTGATTACTCTTATTACTAACGTTTAAAACCTTTCCATGCTATTGCAGAATGACCTGGTCCATGGCTGGGGTCTGGATTTTGCTCTTAGACATTGTGTAGCGGTTCGAAACAACTTCTCTCTTTCTACCTTAATTATATTACTCCTTCCTGTTTGTGATTGTAATTATAATCTTCAACCTTTTCATCTTTGCTCGGAAACAGCCTGCACATGAGAAAATAGGGGTCGTGGATGCGCAGTGGATTGTCCATCAAGGCGTTCCTTCACTCGGGAACCAAGTAAACCCTAACTTTTGATCTCAACTGATTTGCTTATTATATCTGTAGGAAACTGTAGTCACCGATCTTTTCCTCCCGACAGGGGAAAGCGGAGGGTGGAAGAGCGCCATGGGAAGGGGTAAGGGAGAGGTGCAGAAGAGAATGGACGATGTTTCAAGCACGAATGGCGAGCGCCGAGAAAGCATATTTTGAGGAAATGGGAATTGATCCTCCAAGTTCAACAGCTCATTAGAGGGTTGAAAATAATGGCGAAAGGAACTTGTACACATACACCTCAACTGTACTTACACAAAGTTACATTCGATTTGGCTGTATCGTTGCTACTGTCAATAGTAGTGATTTTTTTTTTGGGTATACTCGTATCATACGGTTAATGGAATTCATAAATGATAATGGCCTAGTCAAGCTTACCAATAATACGATGCAACGGTCTTGAAAGCTCAAACAGTTAAGAGCATTTGGCGCCTGAGGTTGTGTTCCATCTCAAACGCGGAACTCTGAAACTAACATTTTCACAATTTAAATTCTTCAATTAATACAAAAAATTGCTATATTTTACATTAACAGATGAAGAAAAAAAATTGAAGAAACAATCTCAATATCTAGGGTTACAAATTATGAGCTCGAAATGAATCGTTCGATGATCTATCCTCTTGTGTTGTTTTGTGAAGGCTTCAAAACTTGTGAGGTAAAGAATTAGATTTGCAATCACTAATTAGAAATAAGTTTTGGTAATTGCCTCTTCCAGCTCTTTGAAGTCCCATGCATTGTCTGCAGAGTATTCACCTGCCAAGTAGAAGGGTAACGCCGAGCTAACGGTATTAATTTCTCTCGAAAGTAAGATACAAATTCCATGTATTGGTGGTTGTAATTTTCGTCAAATATCTTCTGTTCCTTTTTGAGATTGTTAGAACTTGGAATTAAATCCGCACAAGGTCGCTAAAAGTATTTCTACAGAAAACCCTTCATATAATAATACGCTACGGATGGTAAAAGTTTCAGAAAATCAAGGGCAAATTAACACAAATAATCAGCAGTTGTTAAGAACAAAAGATCTTACCGATAGAATCTCTTCGAAGAGCAGTTAAATGGGCACAGCTGCAAATGAAGACGTTGACGAGATTCAATGAAACAAAATATATATGGAGTCGCACTTAATCAAAGGGAGAGATTTTGGAGTAAAGAATGAGTCTTCTAAATTCAATACCTTCCGAGAGCCTTCCCCAAGTCTGCACAAAGTGACCGAATATATGTCCCTTTGGAGCAAATAACCCGGAAGATCAAATTTTGTCTGCAAAAATTACAATAAGCATACATCAGATTATTAGAGGACATAAGAGCTCACAACTTATAAACGATCATAAATAGCTAAATTCTAACTCCGTGGCTTTGACCTTTAACCCAAGGGTAGCAGGATGCACCGGATACAATTTAGCCACGAGATGGTGTTAGATAAATTTATTAATTACAAAGGCAACAGTAAACAAAAGCCAATGAAAATAGGGTACCTGTCATCTAAGCTGCGCTCAATGTCAAACTGGAAGATTGATATACGTCTAGGTGAGAGCTCAATGCTTTCTCCTCTTCTTGCTTTCTCATACATCTTTTCACCTCCAACCTATTGCAAGATTAGTGAAACTTGTCAACAAATAAATCATAAGCCCAAGGTCGACTAAACCTGTTACAATCTACAAAATATGTAAATTTAGAAGATAAAAAAGGGTAAACTTATATTTTCCAGAGTTGCTATGTCACAGGAAAAATGTTTTAAACAAATATCAGAGTTTTGAGTCTGCCAATAAGTTAGCTGAAGCCTGTGCTACACCTACCATGAACATTTTGTTTGTGTCGCGATTTGTATTGAAACACATGGAGAGCCAAATTGAGACAAAAGTTTATGTACTATACATGCATTTGAAATTTAAATTCATGAACTCGGCTACGTGGTTGCTAATACTTCTCTTAGAGTAATCATTGTATATAGAGAGAAGAAATGCTTACTTTGATGGCAGAAAACATGGGAGGTACTTGCCAGATCTCCCCAGAAAAGGATGCAACAGCTTTCTTTATGTCTTCATCTTTGATATGCTCCCAGGGCTCGCGCTGAATGACCTGCACACAAGAGTGACGTGCAAGAAAAATTAGACCATGTTAAGTTTGCACTAAAATAAAAAAAAAAAAAAGGGGTAACAACAGTAGCTCTTACAGACTACGTCAAAAAAGGTCCATCGGTCAAAATGTGGATAACTATGCAATATGGTTTTAGTTCTCACTTCTCATGATCTCGGAGTTAAGAGTATGAGTATACATACAAGCATATAACTTTAGTACAAGATGAAACTGGCATTCGTCAGAAAAGATAACACACCGGTGAATCAGCATCCCAAGTTGAAGTAGCCTCCCCCAAACGGAAAACTCCACTGTACCCCTTGATCATACCTTGATATCTGCAGTAAGTACAAACATGTCGATTGCCTATTTTAACAACCTAGGCACACTATCTCATGAGGCCTAATGGCAACTGAACTATATAAATTGCATAGCATTAAAAAACCTACCCGTCTACCAACTTAGTGGCTTTACCAACACATACAATTAACAAACCAGTTGCCATAGGATCAAGAGTTCCAGCATGCCCTACCTGTAATCCACCCGAAAATAGGTTACATGAGCATTTATTGACACGGCAAGGTATAACACTACAGCTAGAAAGACACCTTTTTCACTTTCACCAGGCGACGCAGCTTTCCGCAAACTGTAAAAGAAGTCCATCCTGTATTGCAAATTGCATTATGATTCCTCTATAAATAAACAAGCAAATAAGATGCGAGGAAAAATTACAGGAACAAATTTTAACTCCAAACCGGATAAATGGAAACGGGCACAAGAAACCGAAAGCCTCACCTTTCGGTTTGTTCACCAAAACCACAGTTCCATAAGGACCGTCCCATCTCGGAGGAAGCTCAGTATTCCTTGTCAAAAGATATGGTTCCCCATTACCATTGCCAGCATCTTCATTGGGGACTTTCTTCAAACACTTAAAGAAGTCCTCCACCTTCTTCTCTGTCACATCTTTACTACTCACATTCTTCACCAATTCTCTCTCCTTCTTCTCCTCTCTCTCCGCCTGCTCAAAGAACACCAATCCCTTATCACCTTCCCCGTCTTTCGTTTTCTTTGGCTTCGCCTTCCCCTTCAAATCGCTACCGCCATTGACACCGGAATTTGACTCCCCTGGTTCAAGAAATGCCTTTTCGAGACACTGGTCAGGATAGTACTTCTTCTCCAGCTGGTACACCATCTTGTAATGCTTCTCCTTCTCCCATGGATACGCAAACGTGTCGTAAAAGTACAATTCCTCCTCCCTCTTATGCAGCGTGTTGAACTCAACCACCTCCGGCTTGAGCTCCACCAAGCTCTCCTCCTCCTCCCGCCGCCGGTCCTCCTCCTCCGAATCCGTCCCGTACATCCTCTTCCTCCTCTTATTGTAGTACTTTCGCTTCGACTTGTCCATCTCCGCCGACGCCAGCTTCTCGTCGAGCCAGTTCTCGAACCCCAATTCCGACGCCGACGTCGGTTTTTCCGGTAAGTCGGATTCGGACTCGAGGGAGGTTTCGGAGTCCGGTCTGCTGACTCTGGCGGGTCGGCGGCGATTGTGATCAAGCGAGGACTGAGTAGGGCGGTTGACGATCATGTCGTACTGAAGTGGGTAGGGAGTGGAGGTGGTTGAGAACGACGGCATTTTGGGGGACCATGATCGACAGAGTACAGTGCGGAGGTTGGGGTGCGGTTGCAGTAAGCGAGAGAGCGTGAGTGTTGGACGGAGAAAGAGGAGAGACAGAGAGACTGGTTTAGCCATTGGAGCCCTCAGGACAGGGGAGATAGCTCGAGAGGATTTGGTGTCGTTTGTTATAAAACGGAGAAGAGAAAACGGCGTTGCGTTTTATTTTGAGAAAATTGTTGAAATGGTCCATCAATTTTACTAAATTGAAGTAATGATCTCTTAATTAAAAATACATCACCTTTAGTCTTTTAAATCATCAAAACGTGTAATTATTATTATTTTTATCAATTCGTCAAAATCTAGACAAAATAAGTTATATTAGAATAATCATTGCTACAATTGGATTCAAGTTGAATAATCCTTACTTCAATTTATTTCATTTGGTTCTTATATTTGTTTCTTGATTCAGTCTCATGTATGTGACACATAATCATTTTGACAGGAGTCCTAATGAAATTAACAAAAATGACTATAGATGCACATTTTAATGCATTAAGGAACTAATCGTCACAAATTTTTAGTCAAAAAATCATTATTTCAACTAGATTAAAGTTTCAGAGACCGTTGTGCAATTTCGTCTTTTACTGTTGAATAACCCTAAACGACAACGTTTAAATGTTGTATTATCACACTGAAAGTCCACGCGAGCCATCTGGGGCAAGCAAAAATCATTTCTCACTTGAAAGTTTCACTAAAATTCTCAGAGTTTTCAATTTTCCCGCTCGTGGCTTCCTGCAATAATGGAGTCTGCGGCAGCCTGGGTGGACGCCCAAGAGTGGGAGGTCTGCAACGACGACTGGCTTCGTCTTCAAGCGGAGGAAGAGGCGCCGGGTAGACCCAGATGCCGACTCGTCGGCTTCCGCTCCACCGTCCTCGTCCGCCGCGGATCTACGGGAAGATCCCGAGAAACTCCGGAGAGAGCGGAGGAGGAAGTTTCTTCTTAAGCTCAAAGATAAGTACCAGGCGGAGATCGACCAGTGGGAACTTTTGTCGAGCACGTTGCGCGCAATGGAGGATAGAGCGCGGCAGCTTCAACGGCAACGAGAGGAGGAGCAGCAACAGCGAACGGAAGAGGAAGAGCGACAGAAAACGGCGTTGTCGGATGGGCCTAGTGCGTTAGAGATTCAGGGGTCGGAGTCCGGTTGTGGGTCGTTGGTGGATGAGTTTCTCTTGCAGGTGAATTGGGGGTTTCTTTCTTTTCGTTTTGGGATTGTTTGGTTGGTGGCAATTTTTGGAAATTGAAAGATTTTGGGGATTAGGGTTTATGCAAAGGTCGGAAATTTGAGCTCTGACACCAATTTGGGGCTCAGCTGAGCTGATTTTCTATGTACATTACTCTGATTTGTCAGTAACCAAACATCAATTGAGCTTTTAGGGTTTCTGTTCTTGTCTTCTTAATTGATTTTGTCATTCTAGCACTTCAAATCTGTGGAGAAATTGAAAATTTTGATTCAATACGTTCTTACATATCTCTGATTTCTCAGTAATCAAACATCAATTGAACTTTTCGGGTTTATGTTTTTGTTTTCCTAGCATTCCTTAATTGACCCTAAACTTGTAAGCAATCATTCACCTGCTAAGTACATTTCTTCATCCTCCTTTATCTATGCAGGTAGACGCACACGCAGCGATCATTCGTGATGTTTCGAGTCTCTGTGACACAGCGGACGCTCTATATAACGAAGAAGAGGAACAGATTAGTCCGCTTTTCTTCGATATTCCGATCTGCAGTTCACCGAGGGAGCTCATGAGATCGTTGCAATGGTAGTCTGTATTCATCAAATTCCCAAGAGGTAGGAAGTAGGAGGGGATATTTTCGGGTTTAGGAAGTAGGAGGAGATATCTTCTTTCGTTGTGATTTGGTATGAGCGAGTGATGTAGCCTACTAACCACAAGAGGTGAACGAGGCCTAGAAACTGGAAAGTGTGTTCCATGCTGATTAGTGTGTGTGTCTATGTTGTATATGTTCTATTGATTATATTTTGATTTCGGTTCATGCTTTCGCATACTTGTAGCGATCGCTTTGCGTTTGGTTTCGCATATACTCTGTTTCGAAACATTTGTGTTTGAAAAGACTTGCATCGATATCAAATACTAGAACAAAACAATCAGCAATTCATAGATCGTTTCAATTCGTAGTTTTCTCAACGGATAAAAGACCAGGATTGATAGTTCTCACTGTACCAATACAAGGGAGTAAAAACTGTGTTCCTAAACAAGACAACTAAATCGAAAGACACCAACTCATTGCCTATTTTGACAAGGTTTGTAGGTCAACCTCGTTTAGAAGAGAGGGAATGACTTCTATCTGTTCAAGTTTAAAGCCAGCCTTTCGACACTCGTCCTCCAAGTGCTTCACTTGTAAAGGACCATCGGGGCAAAACACGACGACTGCCCCTCCGCTGCCTGTGAATTTGGATGCTGCACCCAACCTTCGGGCCACCTCCACCATTTCTATGTTTAAAGCACCTAGAGCATCGTCTCCGAACATGCTTCTGCCAACATCCACATACCAATATTGAGCATCAATAAAATGTACAAAGATAACAAATGCGAAGATGGTTCAAAATATACGATGTTAATCCAGCCCGGCTACTATGGTGTCATGATGACAACGTAACACATAAAGACGCATATAAACGAGCTTCAAAGCTCAAAATAATCACATAACCGAACAATAAGTCAAAATCAGGGCAATCTCAAACCTTCTAAGGTCAAAATTTCTGTTCATGAGAGAAGCTAATTTAGCGTAGTCCTTTTCAACTAAAGCCATCCTTCCTTCTAGTGCAATATCTGCAACTTCTGTCATCGATGATATTATAAACTCATCACCGTTGAGCCACCTTTGACGAACTGTACTATGTACCTGCCCTCACAAATAAACACACGTATCAATTCTCGTATAAATTGCCCAAAAAGTGAAAAGCAATAAGTAAAACTAACAAGAAGGCAATGCTAACCTTCCCAGAATCGCTTGGATTCTCGGCATAGATGAGGATGAAGAGGCGGAAGAAGACTAACATCCATGGGTGTGTAAATTCCATGCCCCAATGTATCCATGTCTTCCTTGGCAAATTCCTAGGAACTCAAAAAGTTACCACATGTCATGGTTGAAATTTAAAAAGAATGCTGGTAAGGAATGGTTGAAATTCGAGTACCATGTAAACAAGGCCGCCATAAACCTGCGCCACGCGATCTTGAAGACCGGCAACAATTCCAAGTTGCTTCTCGGCATTGAGGACGAGGCCGGGGCGGACCTCCACTTTGATTAAATGCCTAACCTTGTGGAAGTCAAGAAGGCAGCTCAGGGCTGCACACACAATCGCACTAGACCCCGAAAGTCCTGCCTGAAATTGAAATCGGAATCTCAAACTCAAACTATCAAAATCACTACTCAATTGAATCACTAAACTGTAATTACAAGTGTGAATAAAATTTAGTTAATTAAGATTTACCTGGCGAGGGATATTCGTATCATACGAGAGAGTGAAATTTCGAGCTTCCAATTCAATCGCATTTTCCTTGCAATAATCTACGAACACTTTGCAAATCGCCATCAGCAATCGAACACCTCCATAATATCCCTCACTATCTAACCGATTCACCTGTTCGATTTCGATTTTCCAATTCAATCACATCTCAAATCTTCAATTCAATCACATTTCAAATTTTCAATTCAATCACAACAAATGGAAAACTCGATTTAATTGCAAAATTCAATTCAAAATTAGGACTAAAACGCAATTGCCAAATTGAAGTGGTGCAGCGACGAACCAGGTGATGGAGGGATCGGAAGACGACGAGGTCGTGGGTGGGGTGGGGCTGGATGACGAGATCATCGGACGGCTGCAACCGCACGGTGGCCCAGAAGTTACCGGCGGTGAAGGAGATCGTGCGGCCGTAGTAGACGTCGCTCGGGTTCCCCAGCAGGCCCACCCTCGCGTACGCCCTGTGCTCAATCACCGCCGCTTCCGACGACGACGTCGTTTTGTGGTGGTCGTCCATTTCGACTTCAATTGTTCAGCTCACTGAAGTGATCCTCTCCAGCTGCGTGAAAGCGCAGTCGTCGGTGGCGGTGTTTGGGCCTGGCGCACTTCAATTCTTGTTTATCCAGCCACGTCACTAGTGACTAGGTAAATCTCACAGGGATCCCACTTCTTACAACTTCTACATTCTTCCTATTTAGGGGTCGCACGGTCCGTTTGGCTCGGTTCCACCCTCAAAACGGAATTAGAATTGAAAATTTTAATGGTCCGGTTCAGTTCAGTGCAATTTCGTTTGAATTTATTATTAAAATTTATAGTTTCATTCATGATGGTTCTAGTTCGATTCATGTCGGTTTACGGTTCTAACTATATATATATATATATATATTTTTTTTTTTAATTTTCTACTTTTAATAACAAACACATATTTCAACCACAAATTTAAGTAAATTTGAGTTTCCACTGCTATATCTACAAGATTGGTGACCGAAAGATAGAAAGTGTGCATATAAATATAAATCAAAAGATTGAATTGCTCATATCAAGGCCAAAGTGTAGATATTAAACTAAAAATAAAGTGTACACAATGCATAATATACTAAAAAAGAATAGAGAAAAATAATGTACGGGAGAGAAGTGTAGAAAAATATTAGGCTTATGCACATAGTCTTCTTGAAAAAATGTCTTACTTATATAAAAATAATAATAAAACAATAATTTATATTAAACGCGGTTTGATCCGGTTCCTCCGGTTCTTAATATTTCCAAACTAGAACCAGAACCGTTTCAAACGGTTCGATTCAGTTTTTGTTCAGGTTTTGACTTTTTTGGTCAATGCGGTTTTTTTGTCACGGTTTGATTCGGTTTTCTGGTTTGACGGTTTTTATGGCCACCCCTATTTCTATTTGTTCCCTGAAAAAATTTTACCAATGGGTCCACTAACTTTCATTGAATTGGAGCAATAATCCATCAACTAAAAATCCGTAAAAATTGACCTCTTAACTCATCAAACGTGGGTTGAAAAAAATTAGAGTACACAACTCTAACAAGAGTTGGAGAGACCAAACAAATAAACAAATTATTTGTATTACCTCCATAAAATATTACAACACAAACTTTCAAGAACCCACTTTAAAAATTATAACGCTCTCTTAGAGACACTCTAGATCGCTCACACCACTCTCACTTCTAAGTTAGTTTCTTGGTTCTCTTCTTGCTTCTTACTTCTTTGTTACTTTCTTAGTTTATACAAATGCACCCACCTTATATTTGTAGTCTTGCTCAACCGACTTAAATAGTCGGTGGAATTGGACTTCTTTCATTTAAGCCACAAAGTAGTGATTATTCTAGATTTTTATACCACAAAAACATTTTTCTTTACTTTCTTGTCGGTGGACTTGGCTTTTGCCATCTTGTTGCTATACTTTGCTAGAAATTCCTGGAATGATTTCATGCTTGCTAGGATTAGAACAATCAAATTCTTTTGTACCAATTCAGCTTAATGGGCTGGTGTTGATAATCAACAATGTGCAGCTATAATCATTTTCGTGAATTTTATTAGAATTTTTGTCAAAATGAGTCATATAAGAATGACCATTGTTACAATTAAATTAAAGTTGAGGGGACCATTATTACAATTTTCTCATTTGGTTTTTCATATTTGTCATTTGATTAAAACTCCTCATTTTGACGGAAGTTTTGACGAAGTTGAAGAAAAAGACTATGGTTACACATTTTGACAAATAAAGAGACCAATAGATATATATTTTTTTAGTTGAATGACTATTTCTCTAATTCAGTTAAAATTAAACGATCATTGTTACAATTTCGTTTTTATAAAACAAAAAAAATGGGCAAAAGAGACTGATAAAATAGATGCATACACATGCACACACTTTTCGGGTAAATCTTTCCAGCGTATACTTCCTGTGAAATAGCGAGCTATCTTTTGGCGACGGGTTGTTCTTGGTGTATTCTCTTTATCTTGCATATAAAGCGAAGCCCACCAATGAACAGTTATTTTTGTGGTCACAAGCTTCACACAAAATATATAGATAGAAATGCCCTTCAAGGCTTCAAACAAAAGAAAACTAATGAAAAGAGTTTGAAAATTTTGAGTTTTAACGATAAGGACAAAATAAAGGGTAAAGTGAATAGTACCAGGATTGACCTTTTAGTGTAAAAATATGATTTTTTGTTAAAGTGAACAGTACCGTAGACTTTTCGTTAAAACTCTCTTCAAACAAAGTACTTCAAAAGCAACCCAAAATAATACATTCAATGTGGTACGGGTATTTTCATTATTTTAATAGTGTTTTTTTAATAATTAATATTTTTTTGTACGATTTTTTTAATTAGTACATTACAATAGGCTAAGAATAATATGATTCAATTAATTGTTCATTAAATATTATTATCTATTTTTAAACACGTTCAAAACATTTTAAAAGGTGTGTAGTGCCAGTTATAAAAAAAGTTTTTCGCTCGCGCATAATAATGTAATTAAATTAGTTATCAAATGATTTTTTTTTAATAAACGATATTATCTACACTAAGGAGGGGATGAGTTTAGCATCACAATGAACTAATAATAATTGAAATTAGTTGTTTATTAAATATTATTTTCTCTATTCTTAATGTAAATTAGTTGTTTATTAAATATTATTTTCTCCATTCGAACATACATGCTATTTGATCAATAACATAAATAAAAGATTCATGTGTTTTGAAGGCTTACTTATTAAGGTAATACACGGTTATGGAGACAAAGTGTTGTGACTGTCTATGATTGTGATTGAGAATGTGCTCGAATGTGACTTGGAACTGATTACATGACAAGTTGGATTCATCTTTAGTGTTGTTATTTTCAAGGATCTTGTTACCTTGGTCTCCTAATAATGGGCGTAGTTATCTTCGTTTTCTTTCGTTGCGTGGGTGTAGACATCTTCGACGCTGTCATTATTAGCAAATTTGATTGACCCCTTGGAAGCGGATCGGTTTCATAATCTTCATAATTTTTTTGATTAATAAGCCGGTGTGCAAGGTTTCAACACA